CACCCAGCAAACCCTAAACCCCAAAAACACCAAACGGACAGCTCCAGAGACACTGGTTTGCCCACCCAGTGTCTCTGGCACTGTCCGTTTGCCAAAAATGCAGACCAGCACCACAGAAATGCAAACGGACAGTGCCAGAGACACTGGTTGGGTGAACTAGTGTCTCTGGCACTGTCCGTTTGCACAAAAGAACCCAAACCTCTCCACCCAGCAAACCCTAAACCCCAAAAACACCAAACGGACAGCTCCAGAGACACTGGTTTGCCCACCCAGTGTCTCTTGCACTGTCCGTTTGCCAAAAATGCAGACCAGCACCACAGAAATGCAAACGGACAGTGCCAGAGACACTGGTTGGGTGAACTAGTGTCTCTGGCACTGTCTGTTTGCACAAAAGAAACCAAAACTCTCCACCCAGCAAGCTCTAAACCCCAAAACCACCAAACGGACGGTGGGCAAACCAGTGTCTCTGGCACTGTCCGTTTGCCAAAAAGGCCAACCAGCGCCCCACAGAAATGCGAACGGACCAGCCCAGAGACACTGGTTGGCCCAGCCAGTGTCTCTGCGGCTGTCCGTTTGCGCAAAAGAAACCGAAACTGTCCAGCCCCTCATGCCCTAAACCCGAAAAACACCAAGCCCTAAACCACAACGGCCTCAGAATGGCACCTCTTGCGCTCGTGAATCACTTGCCGAAAGGGAGGTGATTCAAGCATGCAGGGGGTGCGCTTCAGAAGTCTGAGGCGCACTCGTTGCATGCTTGAATCACGGATCGGAGCCTGAAGGACGACGAGTATCGTCCTCTTTCAGGTTCCGATCCGTGCCTCTTGCAGATTTAAGTGCAGCCTGGGTCTCACTTCGTATTATGTTTCCTTATGACATGAATCGCTGCTAAGATCGTTTGTTACGGCAGTAGCCCACATCGTCAGACGAGTCAGACACAGGCTGCACATTGCACAATCCGTTGAAGAATCGCAAGACTTTGTCAGACGACCTCGGGCTGCCCGGTGCAGACTTAAGCATTTGGGTCCCGTGTAGACCAGTGACAGAACTGTACCGTGGCCCCAGCCCCAGGTCAGAGTGCACTGCAAACGTATTGGTTCGTGTCAGACCTCATGCGCGAAAAAGGCATGTTACAAATCGTTTGCATTCCGTTGTATCGACGTCTGGAATCAAATGCTGAAATCAACAAGCCCATATCCTCCTGTAACTACAAAATAGGAAAAAAGATAAAAAGCTCTTTCTTTTTTTCCCCTGGCCACTCGAGATTCAAGTAATAGGGTATAGACGGTATAGACTTGAACGTTAGGGGTTTAGGGTGGCTTGTTTCAGATACGGATAATTTATAATTAGCCAATGCTCTAAACAATCCACACCCATAGGCTCCATTGTAGTTGTGTGTTTGGAATGGAGCCTATAGGTACACCTTCGAGTAGGAAGTCCCTAAACCCCTAAACCCTACTTGGAGGTTCATGGGTAGTTATAAGTAGGGTTATAAGTCCCCTAATTAATATGGGTTATAAGTATAGTTACCCTACTTATAACCCTACTTATAGCTACCCATGAACCTCCAAGTAAACCCTGATCTGGAAATCCGACCCCTCGGCCAAGGTGAAGATGTGCGAGCTGGGGCAGGTCGGGCCTTTCGGCAGCACCCTATGACGTTTCTGGACTTTCGTGATGTGTGTGTGTGTGTGTGCGTGTGTGTGTGTGTGGGTTTTGTGTGTGTGTGTGTGTGTGTGTGTGTTTGTTTCAACTGTCGCTTTAGGGTCACTGTAGTTGCTTTTCGGGGCCACCTTTCCGGCTCCAAAATATCTAATTGGTTTAGCCAAACGAGCTAAAATGGAGACCAAAGGCAATCTCTAAGCGCTCTGGCTCTAACTGGGTGCTTCCAGGTGGGGCCTTGGGCCTTGTGGGGTTTGGGGGCCTAAGAGTAATTAAGGGTAATGTAACGCCGAAGCCCAAAACAAAGTTGGGTTTGGGGAAGAGGGTGCTTGAAAAGTCTCTTCTGTACATAGTTTAAGTTGGGGGTGTCGGACTGAAGGTGTATGTATCAGGGTGTAGGGCCAGGTCGTCTAAAGTACACAGGATTTCGGACGCTAATGGCTCAAGGTTGAAGAAAGTCTCTGCAACTGCGTGATCGTCATACTTCGTCGAGGTAGGCAGCTTGTCAAAAAGTTGCGGACCCTGACACCCTCAAGCTGATCTGCCTTGCTGGAGGATGCCGGGGCCTGCGGCGATCCTGTTTTCTTGTCGTGTTAACCGTCCAAGTGTGATAAGATCAGCTTCCGCCGGTTCCCATCGAGGTCACTGGTTCTGGAGGTTTGCCCTAAACCCAAAACCTGAGCCCAAAACATACATATCCCAAGCCCTACCAACCGAGGTACTTCCGCACGACCCGGCCCGTTCCTGCAGGTGCTCCTGCTTTCAAAGCTTCAATGGTTACCAAGTCGCGGCATTCGCCAAGTGGCATAAGTGCTGGGTTACTGGAGTATGAGCACATTACCCTGTACCAAAAACATTTATGCACAAGGCTCTGACTCGTAAAGAGGGCTGGAAAGCAGCAGGGTGGCCGTATCTCAGCCATGATTGGCATTTGCCTGGCAAGGTGTCGGACGTACAATCCAAGTTTGGAGCTTAGGGCTTGGAGGCCTTAGAGAGACGTTGGTGAAGCAGGTCAGTGGATGTAATTAGAAACCCCCAAAAGCACATAAGCATCAGCAGTTTATAGGGATATCCCTATCCTTATTTTGCTTATGTGCATTTTTGAGGCCCTGTCTAACACAACATCCGGACAGGAGCCCAGTCGGATGGGCAGCAAAAGGCATTGAACAGCGGACATTGATCGAGCTGCTTCCGACAAGTCAGAAACTAGCGGAGCTTTTTCTCTCCAGGTTTCATGAAAAGCCCCCCGCAAATTTCCCTTGTGCTTTGGGGGAGATGAGGATCTGAGTATCTCAGGCCTTAATCGTGATGGTGGAATGGTGGAGATGATGGTGTCGGCCATGGTGGTCTCAGTACTGTGGTCGTTGCTACCAATATAACGAGCAGTATTGTTGTCGTTATTGCTATTTCTCTGGCTAGCAGAAATAGTATCACGTGACACGGTGTTTACGGCTGACTGTTGCCATGTTCTTCACGATCATTTTTTCGCACTGCTGCTACGAATACCATGAAGCAATGTTTTTGGACAGCGTTCCTCCGGCAATCATTGTCAGAGCTTCCCAAGCGAGTTCAACTTAGAAACGACTCCTTGCCAGGAACTGAGCTGATCACCAGTTACGGCGCCGACTACTGGGGCTTCGAAGGGTGCAAAGTGCTGCCCTGGTGAAAAAGCGGGCACCAGGTCTGCCGGGCCTAGGGCGATTAATATAAGGGGCTTTACTTGTTGCCTATACTACTTTGGGGATTCCTGAGTATAAATGCACATATAGTGTAATAGATCCTAAAACCCTGTTCTAATCATTGAGGCCCCTGGATTGGTTTCATCCCCAATCCTTATCAGATCCTTTTAAGACTGCGCGAGATTGTTGTGCCTTTAGTTGCCCATGTGCAAGCGCTTGAGTTGAGGGAGACGGTTACTCTTTGGTCTGAACCCAGGGCTAAAATCTGAGGAAGGCAGCAGTAGAGTTGTGACACCCGGTACCCTGCAAGTGCTTGGATTCCAGGAAATGTTTATTTCGTGAGTTTGAGTGTGAGGTTGAGTGTGAGCGAAAGTGTGAGCGAAAGTGTGAGCATGGATTTCCAGCCCATCGGGAAGTGTGAGGTTGAGTGTGAGCGAAAGTGTGACTGACCATGAATGGGCCACTCACACTCCGGATCCCGCTCACACTCCCTTTCACACTGCCGCTCACACATTCTTCCTGTAAAACACAGCAAAAAGTGTGAGCGGGAGTGTGAGCGGAAGCGTGAGCATGAATGAGCCACTCACACCCCGGATCCCGCTCACACTCCCTCTCACACTCCCGCTCACACTTCCGCTCGCACTTCCGCTCACACTCCCGCTCACACTCCGGCTCACACATTCTTGCTGTAAAACACAGCAGAAAGTGTGAGCGGGAGTGTGAGCGGAAGCGTGAGCATGAATGAGCCACTCACACCCCGATCCCGCTCACACTCCCTCTCACACTCCCGCTCACACTTCCGCTCGCACTTCCGCTCACACTCCCGCTCACACTCCGGCTCACACATTCTTGCTGTAAAACACAGCAGAAAGTGTGAGCGGGAGTGTGAGCGGAAGCGTGAGCATGAATGGGCCACTCACACTCCCACACTCACACTCCCTCTCACGACTCCCGCTCACACTGCACACAGCTCACGACTCACACTCCCGCTCACACTTCCGCTCACACTCCCGCTCACACTCAGCCTCACACTTCCGCTCACACTCTCGCTCACACAAAACCTCACACAAATAATGTTTTCAGACCATCCGTCATCCCAAGGGTTGCAGGGACTGGGTCTCATAACAGTAGAGGTGGGAATTCGACATTCTTGAACCAGAACGGTCCTAGACCATGAACTATGCTGTTTCTGATGATGCCGAAGCACTGCGCCAGAGGCGGGATTCAACTCCGATTGCGCAGCCCGCATTTGTGATGTCATAGACCCGAGGTTTAGATTTTCAGCCCCGCAGTATGCCAGATTCCGAAGTCTTTGGGGCTGCTCTTTGTCTCACAGGTCGAACTCTGACCTGAACATGTGCATGGACGCCCAGCCTGATGTACAAAGACCCCAAGCCTCAAGACTTAAGCCCGCAAACTGCAGGGGAGCAATTGGAAGATTCGTCGATAGCCCCTCTGCACTCATAGTGCAACACTCCCCGAACGCATAAACTCAAGCCCCAAGGCTCTTAACCCTAAACCCTAAAAGCTGATCCTCGCTGTGGTTCGTCCGAGAGTGAGTGCTGAAACCCTACAAGCTGCGACTTGGTCAACTGGGCGGGTGGGAAAACACCTAAAGCCCTGAACCCCAATCAACCTTTGCCGTAACCCGTGTCCCCCAAGGAAAGCAGCTCGGGTGCGAGTGCCCTGCGCTTTGCAGAGGGCTATCCGGAGGTGTCGAGGCTCCGTGTGCTTCCCTTGTGTTCCGAAAGTGCAGAGGCTCCTGAGATGCTAAAAAAAGTAGCTTAGCTTGCTGTCGGAAAAGGTGCAAGCAGTATTCCGTAGGGTTCCTTGTGCTCATTCGAGTACAAACAACCCGAAACCACAGTCTAATTATAAGAAGGTTATGATGGCACTGCTCATTAGGAGCTCGGCTTGAGTTCAGAGTCCTTCGGGCTCGCAGTAATCTAACCCTCCCACCGCTTTTGCTCAGACAATGACGGATTAAGCTTGGGTTTTTGGGGAGCCGCAGCCTGAAGCCCCAAAGCTTCAAGAAGCGCTTACATGAGCATTCAAACAGCCATAAGCCTTCAAGCACCCAGAGCAGAAGCCGAAGCATGGTTACTGTTATTGCCTTTATTGCAACTAGCCCTGCAACTGCTAAGGCTTGGAGGGGCAGGCATAGCTGTAGAGCCCTGCTTCCCAAGACAACCGCAGTTGCTTTCATGGTACAGTTCTATCATTGTTTTATGACTACTGTCTTCGCAGAGAGCCCTGAATCCTTCGAGCACTCAGCAATGCGTGTATACAACCCTTACAGAGCCCTCAGCGTCCTCGGGAACCACTGCAAAGGCTTTGTGCCTTTTTTGGATTTCCGAGAACTTGCATAGAGCTACCCTGCTATATCAGTTTAGCCCATATGGGGTCCTTGTAGAAACCTCGTACACTTTTTATAGAACCCGTTGACGCCCTCACACCGACGAGGTTTCTTCGCTCCCGTCTACCGGATCTGCCCCGCGCGGTGCCTGCGGACAACGCGGAATCGGAAGCAGAGTCTTGTTCTGCGTTTTCGTTTGTCTGATACTGTACCCTCAGGCCCCAAAGTAGTTCCTTTTCTGCGTTCATATTTAGAATCCTATAAGGTAGTCTCAAAAAGGAACTGCTTTGGGGCCTATGGGCAATAAGCTTCTCTTATATGGGTTTGTAGGTTTACGGAGTGCCTTTCGACCTTAAGAGTCGAAGGGCAAGGGTTTTGAGGGTTTCAAGCTTTTTTTTAAACGGCCGGCAGTAGGCCATGCTGTTGATGGACAAAATCCTGCATTACCCATTATATGGCATATACCATAGTTCCCATAGTTTAGAGTCCTTAGGGTCATGCAGGTTTTTGTCCATCAACAGTATCATTAAGCTCATTAAGCTGTATAGAATTTTAAAGTAGGTGCCCAGAGACTCGAAATTCAACCCTTGAAGAGGAGGAACATTCCTCAAGCCGGAATGCATGTATGGCATCCGGCTATATTTCAACTTACGGCCTATATTCCTTAGTACTATTGGGGTACATGGACCCTTAGGGTAGCAGAGGCTCCTTATAGTAATTAGAATAGGCTTCATGTAAAGGTGCTAGAAGGGATCTAGACTACTACTGGAGTACAAGCAGTCTGTATTATGGTTAGGATCCTATAATATAGTTTTTGGTTAACAAAAAAAGGAACTACAATGGAGACTATAGGTATAGTCCTTAGAAGTGAGGTTTGCAGTCTGTATTCTTTTATGCTTGCAGCTTCGGGTTCTCGGGCCTAGAGCCATAGAACACCCAAAACTCTACATAGGAGTTTCCAAAAATCAGGGGACCCTTATTTTGGGGGTCCTTGTAATAAGGATCCTACTATTTGGGGTACTACATCAGGGTCCCCTAATTTCGGAAACTCCCACACGCCAAAGTGGCGCTTCGGTTAAATGCTGTTGGCCCTAATGGTTGGGGGGCGTTTGTCGTGCAAGATCTATGGTTTTGGGTTTGAGGAAGCGGCATTTCAGGTTGAGTTCTGCTTGAAGTTTCCCAGCTCATAGAGTCATAGGGGCTCGGTTTTGTTAGGTGTTCGCTTACTCAGGCTTTGGGTACAATGAGGTTCTTGCTTTGTGGAGTACCCTCCACGGCCGCTTGCATGCCGCGCAATCATTCATTCAAAAAGGTCTACTGAGGTACCTTAGGGCTCGGGATGTTGTTTTCGTTTATGGTTTGGTTGATGTGATTCTGCTTGCTGCCGGCCCGTTCTGCTTGTTCAGGAAAGACGTGAGATGACGGGTTCGGAGCACTCAGATAAAAACAGCAGCAAGCGGCACCGATACCAGGAGTGCTGCAATCAATAAGAGGCTTTCGTTGATCCAAAAAGACTAAAGCCACAAGAATAGGCCAAGAGGGCTGTAACTCGATTTCGCTTTAGCTCAACCTTGTTGCGTGGCTGGCCAACTGTGGAACGGGGTGCAGAATCTCAGAGATTGCAAAACCCATTCATTTAATTAGCTTAAAGTACAGGGAGGTCCTTGTAAACATGGTGCGTACATTAGTCTACATGTATATGTATATATTTACTTGTATACGTACATAACCACAAGTTACTATTACTATGACCTAACGTGTTGTTGGTAATAATGGCAATGGAGGTTCTGGAATCTATAGACGCTGCCCCATCAACTGTGCAATAGAAGTAGACAGCAGTGCCAGCGGGAGTTGAAAACATGGCTTCTTGTCATGTTCACTTCTTGCGCTCCCTACTGCGAGGATATGCCGCCCACTCCACCCCAGGCACCGCCCACGCCAGAGGACCATAATGGACCATATTCCAAGAGGGTCTCTTTGTCTGGCCGTTTTCTCTCCGTAACAGAGAGCGGCTCTTCCAAAGATCCAGGGTCCTGCTTGTGCTTGTTTGCTACAATTGGGGTCATGCAAGTGGAGTCTGCAATGGATTTATGTTTAAGGTCTGAGGATATCAGGCAGGCTCCATCTACTGAAGAAGGTGCCATTATGCCCTTGTGCGGTCCGCACATTGCTACGGCGGCTCCACTTACGTACCTTTGGTTTAGCGTTAGGGATTGCATATCAACTGCCAGCACTATGCAACCAGGACTCGAAATCAAGGTAGGACAATTCCATAGAGCTAGAATGACCGAGAGACGGTCATCTTCCTGGTGTTGCCGCTATCGAGGAGAGCACTCCTGCTGCCGAGTTTCCACCTTGGCTTCAAGGACAGGACCTCAAGTCTGCCACCCCTGAAAGGGTTCAGGGCCAAGGGCCTTCAGGGCTTGCAGGGTTTACGTAGGGTCTACGAACCATGCAAACCGTAGGCCTGAGACAGCTTCCACTTTAAGTATACCGTCCTGAGTACGACGGGTTCTGGACGTTGAGTTTCAGTTCCTGTGGAAACAAATGCGGTGGCAAGTGGTGGGGGTGGTTGATGGTGGATGCATCAGGACCTATTTGTTGCTTATTTGTTTACATGCCAGATCTATACTAGGGCTTGGCTGGCTACATGCTTCGCCTAGACCTCGTGCAGTCTGGGTTAGTGTACAGCTATCTGTGACAACGATGGGCACGAGGCCACATCAGTCGGGACTTCATGAAACAATGGCTACGATACTGGATCTGTCTTCACAAATCTATCATCTCCTCCTACTTCTACTACTACTACTACTACTACTACTACTACTACTACTACTACTACTACTACTACTACTACTGCTACTGCTACTGCTACTTCTACGACAAAAACTACTACCACCACTACCACTACCACCATGACTACTGCTGCTGCTACTCCTACTGCTACTGCTACTACTACTACGACGACGACGACGACCACTACTACTATTACTACTACTACTACTACCACTACTACTACTACTACTACTACCACTACTACTACTACTACTACTACTACTACTACTACTACTACTACTACTACTACTACTACTACTACTACTCCTACTGCTACTCCTACTCCTACTCCTACTGCTACTGCCACTGCTACTGCTACTGCTACTGCTACTGCTACTGCTACTACTACTACTACTACTACTACTACTACTACTACTACTACTACTCCTAACCTTTGATGTGCCACTACTAGTACCACCACCAGTACGACGCCTCAGCTTTTGTGTCCTAACCAGCAGCTAAGCAGCTAAGCCCTTCCGTATCAGGCGCGGAGGATAGGCCGTTGGAATCTCCGTCGCCACCTTCAAGACAACGTCACTGCAGGACAGTCAGAGAACCGTCAAGGTACATTCCACTCAGGGTTTAGGGCTATCCTCTGGGGAATCCGTGATTCATTATGGTCCAGGCTTTGGTTACATCATGGCCGTGGCGGTTGTCCAGCAGCGATGCAGGAACGCTTTACTACCACCCCACCGCAAGTGCTCTGTAGTCGCAATCATGCACCCGAGTCTGCCTATGTAAGGGCTTCTGCGCTTAGCATATTGGGGTGTTGCTACTTCTGACTCTCAACAACTACAAAAATCGCCCTTAAACTACAGCCCGAGCTAAACCCTTAAACCCTAAACCCTATAACCCTAAACCCTATAAACCCTAAACCCTAAACCCACGCCTGCACACAGTCAGTCTGGAAGCCCATAGCTCGGAGCCAAGTTCACATGTCCAGCCATGGTTGAGGGAACGTACTATAGGGGCCTTAATAATTACCTCTACCAGTGGGGGGTTCCTATTATGAGTATAGTATCATGGGCCCCAAAACCCGATTCTAATTATTCAGGCGCCTATAGTAGCACCTTCGAGGGTTTTGTTCACCAGGGCTTCGCCATAGGCAGGAGGCGGAGGTAGCCAGAAACCTTTCTGACGGAGAGCCCTATGCCTACCAAAATTCCATGGAGCCCCAAACTGCATGCGTAATCTGTTTTTGAAACAGCTGCCGTCATGTAACACGTTGTGTCAGGGAATTTGATGTTTTTGCCCACGGCGGAACCTCTTAGTCTGCACCTCACAAAAAACATCGCGCAAAGAAACAGGCCCCCAACATAGGAACCCCAAGCAAAACGCAAACTGAGCCACTGATCTTTGCCAGACCTGCTCCGGCACTGTCTCTCCGAGAGGTCCAGCAGCGGCACAGTTCTTTCTTGTTGGTTTCGAAGTTCGGGGCCTTCCATATTTCTGGTTGCTCTTCGTTTCTTTTGTGATTATAGCCCCGTTGTCAATGACTAAGTGTACGTGTACATAGTGTGCATGCAGAGCTTGCAGTATTGTTTGGAGCTGCAGGAAATGCCCAAAACATGTTTATAACGTTGCTCGAGTTCTTTCCGACTTGCCAGGAGTTTTGGACAGACTTTGGAGAGTCTGCTATGCTAATGCCTCTGATGTGGCCCAAGACACTTACGTCCTAAACTTCTAGACCCTAAATAGTACAACAACGGTACTAATCATAAAAACCATAGTAACTATAATGATAAGAAGAAGACTAGTAGTAGCAATGATAGTAATAGCGAAAAAAAGAAAACCCTGAAGAGGCGCATGTATCCGACTGCGACCCAAGGGATGCCATCCGTCGGTGTCGACTTGTGAGATTCAGCTGACAGGGGTCTAAAGTTTAGGGTTTATGCTTAACTCCTCTGAAAGGCCGCTTTGGGTATCGGTGCTGCATGTCGGCCTCGGTCAAGACGATTCTGGGTCGTAGACTAGACTTGAGTCCAGTGGCAAAAAAGGGTTTATGAACCAGGGCCCTTGCTGCAAGGGCCCTTCAATAGAGGCCTTATGGTCCTTAATAGTCTGTATTTGGGGGGATAGTAGAGGGTAGTTGGGGGGGTTTATGAAAGTGAGCTCTCTTGACAGAGACGGAACTCCTAGGGTTGTCCTGGAGACGTCTTCTGCTCTCCGATTCAGGGCGAAGCTCCTGAAGCCAAAAGCCCCTAACCTCAACGCCTGGCTGTGCTGCGCCAAGTTGTGAGTGCTACAGACCCATAGAATCTACATTCACCCCGAACTCACCCGGCGCGCAGTCCAAGCGATTTGGAGGAGCTTTGGATAGTAGGTTCCTCATTATAAGGACCCCCAAATAAGGTACCCCCCTAATTTTCGGAAACTCCTAAACCCTAAACCCTGTATAGAACCCTTATAGATCCCTTTAAGGAACCCTTAAAGGATCCCTGTAAAAGGTACCCCTATTTTCGGAAACTCTAACTTGTTCCGAGGCTGCTACAATGCACAGTCCCAAGGCCGTGTCTGCGGCCCTGGCCAAGCAGCTAAGCTGCGCGAAGACAGCTTAGGGCTTGAGGAGTTGGGGCTTTGGTGTCTTGTAGGTGCCAGAGTTTCAGTCTACTATATAAGAGTAACTGTCGGGACTACTTTACAGGTTATGATGCTACTATAGAGCATTGAAGGTTCTTTCCAAACCTTTCTAGGATTCGCCAGTGGCACGGGGGCTTTTGGTTTGACGATGTAACCAGTGTTGGTTTCTCCCCCGGACCTTGTACCCTACACCCAACGGTCCAAATCCTCAAGAGAGAAGAGGAAACTTGCGGAGGGTCTGGCCTTCTTAGCGAGTCGAAGGTTTAGCACTGATAAGTTTACTTCATAATACTTGCTGCTAGAACCCTGAATAAAACCTGAGCCCGAAACCCCACAGGTCTAGAGAATGGTCGGAATACTACTGATCGCTGTTTGTTGGGTTTTGTGGCTCTGCCAGTTTAGAATTGTGGGCCCGGAATTGAAACCTGACTACCCCAGACCATAAACCTGAGTGCCCCAACATTACGATTCTAGTGGCTTCGGGGTTCATTGTGGTTTTGGGGGTTGGTTTGGGCCTCTCCTCGCTTGATCGAGCGCAGGCTTGACAACTTAGAGGGCGCTGTTCTGCTCCCTCAGCCTCACCAATCATCTGTAGGGGCATAGCGCGGCTAGAGGAAAGGGCGACCTCGGCCATCATCCCTTCCTCCTTTAGCACATCGTCGCGCCTCGAGAATGGCGCCTTACGCGCAAGTCCCAAACCCTATTCTATTTGAGCTCATAACCCACACGTCACACCCTTAAGCCCTGAACTATAAGTCGGAGTGTGAGAGCGTACACCCGAAACCTTAAACTCGGCCCCAAGCCCTACGATCCAAACCAGAGATAACCCGCAACCCCAAACCCGAAACCCAAACGCTAAACTAGGCCCTAGGCCCTAAACCCGAAATATATAAAGCAGCGATGACCCTAAACCCGAAGCCCTACACCTAGGGCTTAAACCCAAAAAATGTGAAGCAGAGATCGGACGCTGACCGCAGGCTTTCATCCGGAGGAGGCGAGGGCCTCCTGAACCAGAGCGATGCAGATGGTGCCTTGACTCTGTCAAGGGGCTTGTAGGGTTTAGGTTTAGGAAGCCTGGCCCATGCTCTCCCCCTCATGCCCCGGGAAAGGTTTAGGTCTAGGGTTTAAAGAGGTCCTATCAAGGTCACTATATAGGAGTATGGTTTTGGGGTTCAGGGTTTAGGACTTTCTTCATGTTTTCTTATGTTTTTCTTTTGTGCTTAGCTGCCTGCACCTTGAATCCTGAAGTGAATATGAAGCTGCAATGAATCCTCAAAAGCGTAAGCACCTAAGCAGCAGCAGCAAGTGTCGTGGCCCCAATCGGATCACTACACCCGTATCAGTCCTGAGACACTTAAAGACCTTTAATCCCAGACCACTTCGATCCTGGTTTTATGGTTAAGTCTGAGCCCTACAACTAGTTACCCTAAGTCCCAAACCTCCAAAATGGCTACAGCAGCAATCTGGCTCGGAGTAGCAGTAGCCGTCAGTCCTCCTTGTGCGTATACGTATACCATGCAGATCCTTGTCATTGACTTCGGAGGAGCGGGCAAAGCCTCCCTTATCTGGCAAGAATTTGAGGTCGAGCAGGACGGCACGCCTCACGTCATTCGCAGCCAGAAGATTACCTCACAGCAGGAAGATTGGCCCGGTCACTTGAAGGCAGACATCGAAGATGTGTACTCCTTTGCCCATGACATCGTGATCTGGGCTACAGGAAATCACCAAAAACCGCATTGAATATCATAGTTTGCCAGATGGCATAGTTGACCTTGGTAACAGCATGCCAAGGACGCGGCTTGTCAACATCAAGGCAGAGCAAGAGCTCTTTGGCGAGCTAATGACAGCCAAGCTGGGCCTGCTTCAGCTCCCAAACTTTGATCCAGCCAGCTACTGCTTCTTGGGAGTAACTACATGCGGCTCGAGCTCCATCCGGATGACCCTTGGCAACAAATCGCTCGCTGCCTCTCCAGGCTCAGCTGGAATGTCTGACAGAATGGCCGCTGCCATAGGCAATGAGTTTGATGACCTCCTCAGCGCCTTGCCATTCACAGAAGCAAGAGAACGGCTGGAACCAATCCTGGTGATGGCAGGGTGCTTCCCCATCTCTTCAGGCATGCCTGATGTGATCCATGACTTCGCTCCTCTTTCAGCTACATCTTTCATGGAGACCTGCGAGGCAGCCTTGAAGCAGTGGCACCGCAAGAAGTCTGATGACCTAAAGTTTGACAACAAGAAGTGCGGCGCATTGACTGTTGCACTGCAGATGTTGCCCAAGCTTGCCTACTTGCAAGATCATTGTAGCCAGGGAACTCGATGTCATGCCAGCTGGTTGGTACACTTCAAACCAGACGGGAGATGATGTAATCATGGAATCACGAGTTTGGGAAGCCATTGAGTTTGACATGTTGTCTCCGAGCCGCTACGAAATGTGAGTGCTCACGCTTTGGGAATTCTTATGACAGGTACATGCGTACCCGGATCTGGAACCAGTTTCTGGAGCATCGCCGGGGTTGAGCGATGGCGTCTGGCATTTTCAATCGCATATTTATGCAACCCCGCAAAAATTACAAATCATCCTGATAATGGCATAAGTGAACTCATTGGTTATCAATGCTAGACGCCATGAATGTATGTCACAAAATCTTGACTTGCAGTAGATTAACTGAGCTATGCAAATGTGGTAATGTTCCGGAAGCTGACCGTGCCACCAGCTGCATGAGGCCTGCTGGAACGCTTTTTGCATGACTGGCTGCAACACAGTCTGACTTTGAAGTGAGTGTCGACTATTATCATTATGAATTTCTTTTTAATCCTTTTTCATTGAGATTGTTTTTCTTCTTATCTAGGGTTCACACAAAAGGGTGTGCTGCTCGTTTATTACTTTGCATTGACAAGCCTGTAGCAGTAACATGTGCGCGAATAGTGCGCGAAGCCCTGACTGTACCAGTGGCAGGCTGCCTGGCGCTGATCTGCGTTGCCAGTATAACCCATTCAAAAGGTCCTTAGAGTCGATAATAATGTGATTGTAAGTCATATTGTCAATCATTGTCACCCATACTATAAAGGCATAAAGGAGAGCCAGCGCCTGCAAACATGGCTTGCGACGGCGACGGCACTGCAAAGCTGCAAGAAAAAAATCAGGGCTATACTGGAAGATCTGTGTGAACCTGCTGCATGAGCCGCTCTTCAACCTGAGCTGTGTGTCAAGATACGTTGAAGCCGGGCTGTTCTTGTGCAATGCCGATACAACAGACAACCAATCAATCCCCTGTGCTGCATTCTATGTATGCGAAGGGGACGTGATACTATATGGCCGTACATGATGGGTATGCCTGTACCGTATCTGGTGGACCTGCATTCATTGCTGCAGAATCTCTGGAGACATGCGGCACTGCTCATACAGCATTGCTACATTGCTCTGGTGATGAGTGAGTTGACGAATGAGTGCTACAATGTACATTGCCTGACCAATTCAATGCCATCATATGAACAGAATTCGTGATTCACTTCTTTTTGCTGAACACGTTGCAAGCCGAATTGGATGCAGTATAATTTGCCAGAAATGCATAACAAATTTGTAATCCAGTGTGCACCAGCACTCATTGAACACCTGAAAGACTCAAGCTGAGTTCGCCGATATGTTACCTGTTGCCCTGCTTCGTGTATTCATTAAACCCTGAACTTCTCGTCTGCGGTTTTGCTCTTGCCTCAAGTCAATCTCAGGGCGCCCAACGATGCCCTGAACCTTTCAATCAATTGAGGAAGAAAGCTCGAGCAATAACCCCAACCTCTCTGTGAATTCAGGCTCAAGGCTTCGGTCTTGAAACTCCGGGGGTGTGGTTTAGGGGCGGGGTTGCCGGTCTACATTGCAGTGTCTTTTCGTTGTGTGCTTTTAATTGATGTTGCCAAACTCCAAGGATTCGGGGCTCATGGTCCCAAACCCGAACTCACCTACCCAAGATTTAGTCCTCTAACCCTAAATCCTGAACCTTGCAATCTGTTTTTCCAGATGTTCCAACCAAAGTACTCTGCAATGCGGGCTTCGTCCTTGCTAGCTAGGTAGGAGGGGAAAAGAACTTAGAAAGAATGGTATGTAGTGGTCGTGTTTGTCGTAGATTGGTAGCAGTAGATCTGGAGCCGCATGAGGGCAGTGACTTCCACTAGCCGAGCGGAGGCTACACTGCGCTCCACTTGTGCTTGCTCTCGCCGCCGTTGTCGCAGGCAGGCGATTGAGTCTGTAGTGCCTCTCTTCGTTTAGCGTGGAGAGAAGTCGTTGTCGGAGCCTTGGGCCGGGGAGTGTTGATTTCGAGTAATTAATATCTGTACTACAATATGTGTATGTATATATATATATATATATACATAGATAGACATATATATACATAGATATACATATATGCAATTGCATAAAAATAGGTATTATGACATATACATATATACACACATATATACATGTGTGTGTGTGATATCGACAAGTTTCTGTGGTTCGCCTCCCAGGAAGTCTCCCAACCCGAGGCTTCGACCGGTACTTGCTTCCAAGGAGAACCCCCAGGCCGATGCACCGAAAACGCGAATTTACTAGACGGTCTATGGGGAACACAACAACATAACCATCCAGAACTTATAGGCTGTTTACAGTGTACTAAAGCATTTAAATGTGCTGTAAGATGTGTATTCATAATTTGCTATAGTATTGAAATCATCTGCCCTAATATACCATAGAATCCGCTTCTAACTGCCCTGGGAAAGTTCGAGCTCGCCACTTCCTACATAGCCCAGCCTTGAACTTTCGCTCGGCTAGAAATGGTGAACGTCTATAGTGGGCACTCATACATGCATGCATACCGACATACCTAGAACTACATACATGCAAAGAGTTACATATGTACAGTCTATACAGACATATACATACTCACATACATACCAACATATGCATGCATGCATACATGCATACATATTCACATAGACGCACATGATGTTGTCGCGGCTTCAAAGCACGCCGTGAGCAGGAGCGTCTGGCCTGCGAGGCGCAGGAAGAGACCGTCCGGCTGTTGCTAGCAGCCCGAGCATCTCCCAATTGTGCCCTGGCCATGTGCTGATTCTTACTATAGGGGCCTTAGTAATTAGAATAGGCTAGGGTTGTTCTTTAGAAGGGCTCTTTAAGGGATCTATACTAGCGTTCTATAATATAGGGGCCTTAGGAATTAGAATGAGGCTTTGGGCTATATTTATGATATGGAACCCCCCAAATAGTATAGGGCCCTATATTATTCTCGTTGTTACAGTATTTTTTAATATGTCAACTTGTTTCTTTCGTGATCTTTATCATCGTTGATGCTGCCATCATTCTTCTTATGGTTGCGGCTATGACTGTGAGCGTAAAGTTGTTGATAACGTGGTGATGATCCTGGTGATGATCATGGTCACAATTGTTTATGTGTGCCACAACCACTCTTATTGTTTAGCTCGACTGCTGCAGCGCCGAGACAAGTATCCTTCGACATAGTTTAGTGGCCAGCGATGTGAAGCAGCGGTGCTTCACAGTCGTAGAAGTAGAAATCGCCAAGGTCCTGGACAAAAAGGTGAGGTCCCTCTTCAGCTGGCTGCTACCCTCGCGTTTCTTGGCCTTTGCATGTCTCAAGTCACCGTTGAGAGACCCAGGTGCACCGAAGGTTTGTGCTGCAGGGGTCGACTGCATTCACTTGTGGAGGCAGGTTGGGTGAGGGGGAATTGAGTAAAAGAGAGACGGTGACAGAAGGCATTAGGCTCGGGGATGAAAACGTTTGGCGAAATAACTTATTAAAGATTTTCGTCCTAGTAGAGTAGGTAACTTTTAACCTTTGTTGGTGTAGTGTAGCCCCTATATACAGTCCCTATATAACCAAAAAGGTTAACCTTGAGTTCCCCATGATACCCGACAAGTAGGTCGTCTCAGGTTCAACTGCAAGCAGATCCTTCGACTCCTGCTGCAGGTAGCGGCTAGCGACGGAGCGACAGCTTAGAGCTTCAGGGCTTACGCTTAGGGGGTTTAGGGTTTAGGGGTTACGCCTCAGGATTATAGTGTTCCGGGATTTAGGGTTTAGCGGCCTTCATGATTAGTGCAAAAGGACCTCCAAAATGATGGTAATAGCTTCCGAGTATCGGCCAGCAGGAAGCTTGTCTGAAATTATAAAAAAATACCAAACTCTGGCCTGTACTTTGAAATTTCTGTAGCTCGATCGAGGACAGCCCAAGACCCTAGTCCAACAATCAGGACCCTGTGCTGATGTGCTTCTCGTGAGATATTTTTGTGTGTATATTTAATTACTTTCATATATGTATATATATGTATATATACATGTATATACATAAATATACTTGTATGCACATAGGTGTGTCGGTGAACAGTCTTAGTTCAGGATGCTCCTACTCAGAATTCTTGTTTTAGTTGCAGCCTAACCTCAACAACGGTAAGCGGCTTTGAGATTGATGGCCTCGAGATTCAGAGCTTTTTCGGGTCTTCCAGATGTCATATCTCAGGCACACCAGCTGCCCACATAGTGAGTTAATTACCGTTCCCTCAGGTACTCAGAGCCCAGTAACCTACTAGAAAAGTCCCGAGACCTTAAACGTCATGATGTGGGCTACTGTTCTTTTTTTTGCCCAAAGCCCAGCAACAGGCTACAGAGCTATCAACTGGGCTCTGATGGGTAAGAGAGGTCCGACAGATTTGTCGTGGAGGCTTCGGCAAGGCAGAAACGCAGTGGGGCTAGCTAGCAGGAGCAAGCCTGGCCTTATGCATCAAGGGCCTATGTAAAGAAGAATTCGAATTGTAGGATCCATGATGTGCTTGGGGATTCTGGCCGGGCGAGCACTGATCAAGCCTGTGGAAAAAGGATCCATCATGTAGGGATTTTTCAGGAAGGGACACCAAAATCACGGCAATCCTGGTGTGCAACTTTGGTACAGCCGGGGCCAGGCAAAAGCCACCGTAGACGGAGATGCGACTGACGAGGATGCTGCTCCGACGCAAGCCACGCACGCTACATGCGGGTTTAGGGTCCAGGCCTCAAAAGAACAGCCTTAAGTCGTACGTGCCGATAAAAATCCAAGTTTCAAGGCATCATTAACAGATCTCGAGCCACATTCGCCTGGACTGTCCGAGTGTGAGCGCCGAAACTTAAAGCCTGTCATCCTAGGCTTAGATCTTTTGGAGCCGTACTTAAGTGCAACTGCATCCTCTATGTTGTTCTGTGTTGGTGGCTGTTAGCCTACTCTCCCATATAAACTCGGTGCTTTTCCTCTTCCCAAGACACCCTAAACCTTGAGCTCTACTTGGAGGTTCATGGGTAGTTATAAGTAGGGTTATAAGTCCCTTGATATGGGTTATAAGTATAGTTACCCTACTTATAACCTTACTTATAACTATCCATGAACCTCCAAGTAGGCCCTAAACGCTATACCCTTATGGAATCCCCATAGATCCCTTTAAAGGGACCCTTAAAGGAGCCCTTCTAGCTACCCATGAACCTCCAAGCAACCCCAGGGCGTAAGTTCTCCCTCCCCCCGTGTGCGGAGCGGCTGAGGCTTTCTAAGCTTCCGGGCTCAGGCTTTGGGTTCAATGTCTGACGTTCAATTTTTGGAACAGTTGGTGGGGGGGGGGGGGGGGGCTAGGCTTTAAGCTTTAGGTTTCAGGCTGGCTTGACTGTCACATGCCCCGATGGTTGGGAGGGGGGGGGGCAAGGGGGGGACGGCAGTGTGGAGAATGCGGAGTCCGAAGCATGCATGTCAATCTATGTGCATCTCTCTCCCTCTCTCTCTCTCTCTCTCTCTCTAGCTCTCTCTCTCTCTCTCTCTAGCTCTCTCTCTCTCTCTCTCTCTCTCTAGCTCTCTCTCTCTCGCTCTCTAGCTCTCTCTCTTTCTCTTTGTCTAGCTCTGTTTCTCTACTCGTATCTCTCCCTTTCTCTAGCGAGCCGGGCTCAAGCTTGCTAGGACAAGACCGACTGTGCAAGACCCGAAAAGCAGCCGCGATTCGAGGCCCTAAACCCTAAACCCCATGATCGCGGCGGACCCTACCTATAAATCCCAAAGCTGAGCTACTCCTGAATCCGGTGAAACTATTGCGGCAAATTCAAAACCGTCTCCATTATAATGGCACCCGATCCCGTCCTGGCAACCTCGGAACTTAAACAAAACTCTAGCTTGTGGCAGCCCTACAAAACCGCGCGATGCAAGAGCTTCTCGCTCTGTCTCCCTCCCTCTCACATAGCCGCATTATATGTGTGTGTATATATATATATATGTGTGTGTTTATAAATATACACTTAGACTTAAGGTATGGTAAACTTACATGATTTTAAGAACTCTGACCACGTCAAGCCTTGCAGAAACCTATGACGCTCCTGCTTATAAAGCCCTTTTGCCACCCCAAAAAAACCCGACAAGACTCAACATAAAACCCTGTGAAAGCACTCGCAGAAGTCGTCGGTATCTGAGGCGATCCTCAGCCGCTTGCGGGCGCCCAAAGCCAAGACGAAGCTGCCTTCCTCAAGGCGGATCCAAGGGGGGTCTAAGTAGAGTTTACACTAAGGCCCCAAAGTAGTTCCTTTTTGTGGTTCATATTTTTTGAATCCTATAAGGTAGCACCAAAAAGGAACTACTATGGGGCCTTAGGGTAGGCTTACGGCTGAAGTTTTTAGGGTTTGAGGTTCAAATCCACGGGCTCCCCAACGAAGATCAAATTCCACGTTTTAGTTTGGAAGACCTGGATTCCGCAAGATAGTACCCCTAAACCCTAAGCCCGAAAGTCGGCAGCGCGTGTTGAAACCCTAAACCCTTAAACCCTAAACCGTGTAAAGCTCCCCATGATGGGGGCTAGCTATTGAGGCGCCTGGCCTCTTCTGGTAGAAGCCTCAGTTGGGTTTATAAGGTGTTGGATTTAGGTTGTCAGGGTTTAAGACCAGGATGTTCGGATTTGCAGGTTTTGGCTTGGGAACTAGTTTTTGTTTGCCTGTTTCCTGGCATTGTAACCGCGTGCCCATATCTTTTGCGGTCGCCATGCAAATTGGATAGTCAAAGCAGCAGATAACCCAGCTTGGCAGGCCTTACAGTCCCTTATGGACCCCTACAAAGCAACAGCCTCACTAACGCCGAGTAAAACCCCTTGTAATACCGCAAAGCATCTCTTATAGTGCTGCTTACAGGAATCCTAAGCCCTAATCAAACCCTATCCTACCCTTACAGAAGCCTTCGCGGAGCCTTAAACCCTGAACCCTACACTACCCTTCGAGAACCCTTGACGGGATTCCTATAACCCCAAGGGTCCAAAGGACCCAATAATCAGGTATTCGGTTTTAGGATAGTAGTTTATGTAGGTTAGGATTTTGGAGAGTATGTGACTATTTGGTACTTGGACCCTAAGGGGTAATAAGGACTTAATAACTAGGACCCAGAGAAGGCCCTTATTCCCTTTTTTAGGGTTCAGGTTCCCTTATAACCCATTTAAACCAAAAAGGGCACCCTTTTTATTCCTAGGTTACTCTTGGGTCTAGATAAGGCCTATTACAGGAAGTAGGGTCCCCTACCCCCCTTCCCCCTACCCCCCTTAGGGTCCCCATGATTCTATGCTAGTTACTCTAAACCCTCTGCGCGTTAAAGGTCCGAGCTCAAAGATGCTGACGTGCTGTTACGTGCAGCAGAGGCCTAGCAAGGGGGGATGGTTTGGGTTAGCTTAAGGCCCCATAGTAGTTCCCTTTTGGGATTACCTTATAGGATCCTAAATGTGAACCCCGAAAAGGGTAAACTGTTTTTACGTTATAGGCTTTAGGATGGGATGAAGGGGTCTAGCCGTTTTGGGGTTTGGGGGGGCTTACAGGATCCCCCCTTGCACGCATGATGAAGGGTATCTTGCTCCTGACCATAGGTATAGAGTATCAGAGTATAGAGTAGAGCGGGTCTAGCTTCCATGGATTTGTGTTGCAAGGTCTACTAGCGATAATGCCGAATCCATAAATACTACCGCACTAAATAAGACAGTGAGAGGTTCCTCGAACCACGAAGAACTAAGAGCCGGTACTTGCAACTTACTGATTCGCGAGGCTTCTACATGGCAGCCTGGGCCGTGTGGGTGTCTTGTGCACGTCTACTTTTCATGCCGAGTCTCCCCTCGTGAGGATTCAGTTGCCTGCAACATAAAGCCCTGTAGTTCAGCCCCCAACTCCTCTGACCCGAACCCTTCGATGAAGTGAAACTGCATGGGCACGCCAAGAAGCCAAACCAAGTGCATTGCAGGCCCTGGAAATCACAAATTCCCCGAGCATCCTAAACCCAGATCCGGAAGCTCAGATCTTCATGTTTAGGCTTCAGGGTTTATAGGGTTTAGGATTAAGCCAATCCCCATCAGCGCAGCCAAGAGGCACATGACGCCACACGAGTCGCTGAGCTTCTGGAGTCAGCGAGGTGGCTTTGCCCAATGGGGTTTAAGGTGCGCTGTGTGGTCTCTGATCTTTGTTGTGGCTCAGGGCTCTGGATTGATCGGGTTGTGCCCGGTAGTTTAGTAGCTGCAAGCCTACATGAGCTGTCCCATGAGTGACATGTCATGTGCGTACCCCACATCCTGGAGCATCATGTCGCAGCGAAAATCCCTGCTCTTAGCGACAAATCGTTCAAACCCGCTCGCGGTGTTACAAGCACTTCCTTTCGGGTTTAATGTGGGGGCCTAAATAAATGTAAATATTATTGTGGATTTTTCACACAAAAATGTACAGTGCACCCCAAACCCCTATTCCAATTTATTAATTTCCCTGAGCGCAGCATCTATTCGGGCCCTGATGTAAGCAGACCCATATGAAGATAAATCATTTACATATCCACAAAATAGATGTCCCTGACATTGTGTAAGCTTACAATATGATCCCCAGTTAAAGCTCCCGCAAAAGAGCCTCGCCTCGCGCTACAACACCTGAAACAGCTTCCAACCCGGAACCCCAGACCCCTAAACACCGAAAAAAAGCCGCATAGAACCATTAGCCGTAAACTTGAATATAAACCACTATCTAAACTCATAAGCCTGAATCAACTCATGAGCCTCAAACCCCAAGACGAAGAAACCGAAGTGACCTCAGGGATGCAAACCTCGCCGACTTGGAGGACATGCACGGTAGAAGGGTTCTACTTTAGGATTTAGGGCACGGGTTTGGGGTTGTATAAGCGAGAGAGAAACGGGGTCAGGTGTTACGGCTACAGGGTCTAGGTTCGTTTTCGAGGGCGGGCCAGCAGTTGAGAGTATCCTGAGGGGTTACTGTGATGTCCGTCATAAGGTGACCCAGACGCATGATTGTAATTGCAGTCACTTCCCCTTATAGTCCCCTTTGAAAAGGAAACCGTCATGTCCCCCACAGCCCTACGCTAATCATTATGATGCCCCTATAAGAAGTAAGTGTGGTGGAGCCTCTTGGGAGGATGCAGATGGACACCGCCCGCTGCACCGATGCCTCCTTGCCCCTCCTTACGAGGCCAACAGCAGGGGAGGGTATCGGATCTATGTTGCAGGGTTTCGGGTTTGGTTTAGGTTCTGTGTTTGGGGTTTTGGGAATTCAATTTGCGTATTTGGAGTCTACTTGGTTTAGGTTTAGGTTTACAAGTTTTGGGTGAGCTTCATATGGGCTCGAGAATATATGTGTAGCCTGTTGAGATTGATGTCGTATATGTTGCCTAGAACTTTCCAGAGCTTGCGGCTGTTGCCAGACTTTGACGGCTCTGAGTTCAGCTTCTTGGAGGATCATGGGACCTAGTAAGTCAGTTTATAAGTACCTTAAGTGCCTTATAAGTGGCTATAAGTCTAGTATTTGGCCCCAGTTACTAAGTCCCATGATCCTTTAAGTAGGTGGCATTCTCGGAGCTGCGGTGTGTAGTGCGTCGCCACGGATTATTGTGGCTTCAGTGGGGGGATCCTTTCCTTCAGGGAGGGCTGAACTAAGGTATTCCCTAGTCACCGGTCCGCATGCACTATGCCCTACCTGAGCCGTAGAACCTTTTTGCGTGAAGTTGCGCATGACCCCGAAACACCTAATCCCTAATCCCTAATCCCTAAACCCTAAACCCTAAACCCTAAACCCTAAACCCTAAACCCTAAACCCGAAACACCTAATCCCTCTAGCCTTAATCCTTACAAGGCCCCAGGCCTTGATCCCTTCACCCTAAAACCGAGCAACTTAAAACTTCAACCTTAAAAAACGCCACTCCAACTTGGGACAGGGCAGATGGTCGGCACTTTCCCAGACGATGAAGGCCCTATTGGCTGCTCGCGCCTCACCGAACGCAGCGTCACCCGGCATGGTTTGCTTTTAGGGCTTCAGGGTTTAGGGCCTAGGGCTGTTTCTTCTGTGGGGGTGCAGGGTTGTTGTTTCAGTAGAGATCTAGGACCATTTAGGATTTACGATGTAGGGCTTCCTGATGCTTAGTGTGCACAGGGTAGTTTTTCATTTGAAGTCGGAATTGCGATGTAGGGTGTAGTTGTGGCCATGGTGAATCTTTTTGGTGACGACCTCAGGGCGTGTTGGTGTTTATGGCGGAAGTCTAGAACCCAAGCCCCCAATTCAAACCCCTACACCCTGAATCCTCACCCCTAAACTCAGTTTCCGGAGATGAACTTGGCCATGAAATCTTAGCTGTTGTCAGCTGTTCATCCAATGTACCCTGCAATGCGGGCTTCGTCCTTGCTAGGTGGGAGGGAAGATGGGAGTTTCCGAAAATGAGGGGCACCTCATTTTGGGCCCTTATAAAAAGGATCCTACTATTTAGGGTGCGGGGTCCCCTATGTTCGGAAACTCTAAACCCTTGTAGAGCCCTTTAAAGGAACCCTTATACTAACCCTTTAAAGGAACCCTTAAAGGGTCCCCGATTTTGGGAAACTCCCAAATCCCTAAACGCCAACCTTTCTGAGGAGTCGCGATGCCGAGTCCCCACTGCTGCTGGCAGTCCGAAGTCTCGGCGGAGCAACCGGGGACGAAGGTCCGCCTTTTGGGTAGTCTTTCGGTGTTAGGGTTATGGGGTTTAGGGTTATATGATGTTATATGTAGGTTGTTGTATGCTTACTTCTTCATGTATATACATGTAGTATGGGGTGTTTTGGTTGATTGTCTTCTTTTCTTCCTTCCTGTTCTTGTTATCAGTATAGTAAAAGCAGCTATGTATACACACACACAGAGTAGACATGCTTGGATACATGTGTATGCTGCATGCTTTTTGTTGCGGGTATGGTTGGGTTGTTGGTCTTGGCAGTGATTTGTTGTTCTGAGGGAGGGGCGCGCAGGATTGTAGGATTTGTGGAGCCAGGCAGCACGGGTATTTGCGGCTTGTTGGTGATTTGCGGTTTCAGATCGTATTGGCGGGTCCGAAATCGGCTTTGAGTGTCAGGAAGATGTGGCGTGAGAGCTTGCAGTTTTGAAGTTCGGGGCATGGATGGAATTGGCTTCTGTGTTCAGGGGCTTCTCGAGTCCGTTCGATCTGTCGACTATGGAGGCTCTGTCTTTCTTTGGGATTCAGCTGAAGTTTCTCTTCAAGTAGACAGTAATCCTGAGTCCAGGAACGAGTTGTCGTCTTCAACTTGTTGATGCTGTTGTCCGCCGAAATTCTCGCCTGACATGTCCGTGCGCGAGTGCAAAGCAAACTTGTTGGTGACGTCTGTCGTTTCAGTCCAACAGCTGCCTTTTCCGAAGCTGTGTTCGGTTCTGACTATAACTTCCAGGGCATCAGCGACAACAATTGTCTGTTGATTGACTAGCTCCTGTTCCTTAGTGCAGTCTAGGCGCCTTCATTATGCGAAAAGCATTTGCTGCTATATAAAAGTACGACCATACAGTGACTTGAAAGGGACATGATGACGAATAGTAAGATTCCATATTAGACGGGTTCGCACGATCTCAAAACATGACATGTGCCGGTATATTAAATTAAATACACACCCTCGACACACCCTCAAGTGTCGAACCTCGTCGTTTCAGTCTGCAGCCGCCAGAAACGCCGCAGCAAGCCTTGAAACTAAGTCCTCCCAAGCTTTAAGTTCATAACCCCAAAAGCCCTGAAGCTCCAAACCCCCCAAGCCTGATAAAGAGGTCGAACTGACAAGCCACACCCCTCCGAGTCCAGGTATTGTTGTTTTTCCATATCCTGCTCAACTAGGCATTCCGACCGCTGGATCAGAAGCCCTCCCCGTCAGAACCTTAAAGGGACTCTTATAATACCCTTATAGTAACCCTCTAAAGGAACCCTAAGGAACCCCTAAGCCCGAAACCCTCTCCCTCTTGCCGCTGCGAGAAGGTCAGAGATTGCAGATACTTCGTCAACTGCTGAAGGCGGGTGCAGACAGCAATCAGGGTGACCACCAGGACCACTTTGGGCAGATGATTTGGGGTTTTCCGAAGATAGGGGACCCCAATATAATACCTTGAATCGTAGGATCCCTATTGTAAGGGCCCCAAGATAAGGTAACCCTCAGCTTCGGGTTTTCTGAGGGTTTCAGGGTTTACGTAGGGTTTCGAATCGCTTTGCACAGTTGGATCTGGATTGTGGAGGGTTGAGACCTATGCTGCCTATGCTCATGAATGTTTCGTTCTCGGGGTGTTGGGCGCGAATCAGCTCTTATTCTGTGTGCCATCCTAGCCTCCATCATTCCTTAGGGTTCCTTATTGTAAGTAAACTATAACCCAGAACCCTCTTCCAGCAATGAAGGCCCCTCGCAACATGTATGCCCAGGTTAACATTGGCGCGGGTTCTGGGTTCTGGAGTATGGTACTTGAATGCTTTTCTTGGACCTGTTCCTTGAAAGATCCATGGTGAAAGAAACGTCTAGACTCTGCTCTCCCTGGTTACTTCAACTTCCAGACTAATTAGAAGTTGCGGCTACACGAACCGTTAGTTAGATGGGTATGAGGGTGGCTTCTACATTGAGGCCCGCGGCATGTAGCCCAAATCTTAGCAGTGAAGGCCATACGCCTGAAATTCAGGCTCGGCAATCAACTGCCTGAAGCTTTTAGCGCAACCAATCGAATCCAAATATCCGCGACCCCCGACAACCAAGACATGTCTGGTAGGTTTTTGTTTTTGTTTTTTTGAATAGCTTTTCCTGTTACGAAAATTGCTCCCACGACAGGCTCAATAAAGGCAGTGTCTCCATTGGGATCGAGTTGGACGCTAAACCCTACCCAGAGATCCCGATACCTCTTGATTTAGGAATATACCTTAGACCAATGTATTAAGGCCCCAATAGTTTAAGGTATATTTCCTTAGTTACGGGATATTGGGTTCTCTGGGTACTCCCCAAACGCCGAAAACCCATTTGGCCTTGAACCTCTGGAGTGTCCAGGTATGGGAGTTTCCGGAAACTGGGAGTGCGTGATTTGGGTTATGGGTTCCTTTAAAGGGATCCATAAGGGATCTTTAAAGAGATCTATAAGGGCTCTATTTAGGGTATAGGGTTTGCGAAAATTAGGGCACCTTGTTTTGGGGGTCCTTATAATAAGGATCCTACTATTTCGGGCACTCTATTATTTTCGGAAACTCCCGTACCTTGAAGACTCCACAGCCGAAGGAGGGCTCAGGTTAAGAGTTCAGCAAAGGAAAGGTTTAAGGTTTAGGGTTTAGGTTTTAGGGTGAGTGCGGTGTGCTTGGGGATCCTGGCCGGGCGAGCACTAATCAAGCCTGTGGAAAAGGGTGAGTGTTAGCTGCCGACTCCCAGCGGATGATGGAATAGAGCCTGGGTTCAATAGAAGTGAAAGTGTAGGGTATTAGGGTTTAGGGTCCTGAAGCTTCGCAAAAAAAGGACACGACGCCTCTGATGGAGGCTGTCCGGGTCGGTGACGCTGAGGCTTTCGAGGGGAGGGTCAAAATAATGGGACAGCTTCTGATGAATCAAGCCCCAAACCTTCAACCCCACAACCTGAAGCAAACGGGACAGCTTCTGACAAGTTCAGCCCCTATCCTTCGTGCCTCAGCCCTGACACCTCAAACCGTCGGGGCAGAAAGAATGAAAGGACAAAATTAGGGTTTAGGGTCTAGGGCTCCTAATTCGATTGACTGGAGGCTTTTTCGGGGTGTATGGTGGAGCTTTACGTTTTTGTGCCTTCCGAACCGGAAACGTTCATGCCCTGCATGTGCCAGCGTAACTTTCGTGTCGCTCTTATTCCTGGCACCCAATCAGTCAGTCTGATGGGGCTTTTGCGCATGAAACCTGCTACTGCCTGCAGTGCTGCTGCATAAAGTCGTTCGAGCGCACTCTACAGAGTCATAACAGTTCACGAGAACCCGAAGAACCGTTTCGAAACTTGGGATGCCTTATGAGTTGCGGTGTTTTTATTCTGTGTGGTACCCCAAAATCAAGAACGCCCCCTCCCCCGGAGGTAACGAGGAGCCTACTGCCAAAGAAAAAACAGCATGGTAGAAACAGCGGAAGTTGTAAACATCATTGCTTTTTGCTGTTACTATTAAGGTCCCAACACTCGCCGTGAATCAACATGAACTAATACCTAGTTCTCCAATACCCAACCAACGAACGTGTGGGTTTACATATTTTAGTAGTAAACTGAAACTTTAACCATTTATTTCAATATAGCAAGCAGTCGAGGTTTGCCAGCTACTTTTGGACCGGGGCTGTGCAGCAGATCGCTGTGGTGGTGCACGCGGCTGCCGGGCTTTAGACGGGTCGGCATGCTCATAAGGTTTTAGGAGGGTTGCAGAGAAATTGAAGAATAGAATTACTAATGCTATAGTTACATCACAGTATATAGGATGAAGATGATGGTGACAGCAAATACAATTTGTTCAATTGTTATTCTTTTTTGCTATAACTCTTGCTACGACTGTAGCTCGCCAAAGACTCCATATCCCAAAGGCCTCTAAGCCCTAAACCATCCGAAGCCCTAAACCCAGAGTCTCCGTTAGCCCCAGAGCCCCGAACTCCTAAACCCTAAACCCCATACCCGGATCCTCGCCTGCTTGGATAGTTGTGAGTGCTGAAACCCCATACCCGAACTCTCCATTAGCTCCAAAGCCCCGAACTTAGAGGCCTCGCTGTGAGGAGCACAGCTTCTTCGTCTGATTCCTTCGGAGTTATCCTGCAATGCGGCTTCGTCCTTGCTAGGTACACTGGGTAATTATTGAGGCCCCTACATGATTATAGATCCCGTATAGAAACCCTTAATGCACCCCACTAGAGGAGGGATTATAGTACCCTTATAGATTCCTTATAGAAACCTTCAATAGGCCCCACTAGAGGAGGGAAAGAAAGGGCGTCGGTGAACCTGAGGTTTGTCAGCGATCGACGCGGCCTGGCAGCCCGGGCTCCTCTGGCAGCAAAGCGGATTTTTAGGGGTTAGGGTTTAGGGATCTAGGGTTTAGGGGTTTAAGGGTGGGGCCACATAAGGTTTGGGAGGGATATACTTCGAATCGCAGCATTGAGCCCCTCCTGATGTGGAGTATGTTCTGCTGCTCTGGTAAAGTTGCGCTTTGGGAGCCTAGATGATTCATTACCAAGTCTGTACCCTGGTAGAGCCCTAGCCGTAGGGGCGTTCTGAACCCATGATGGCCCTTTTGTCGTAACCCCAAACGCAGAGAACACTTGCAGGGTGTAGGATCACCGTGTCCGTCGCCATCTTAGCATTCCCCGACTCTCACGCAGCTCATGGTTTCATGGCTCACGACGGCTTTTGGGTTTCGGAGTTCAGAGTTTAGGGCATCACTTATTGCCGAACATACCCTGTCTCTACCGAAGCGATTGGAGTACTGGCCTTTGGGGTGTAGTCTTTGCTCCCTTACATGAACCCCTCATAAAGAAGCCCCAGAAGGAACATGAAAAGGCAGAGCTTAGAGGCTCCCTAAACCCTAAACCCTAAGCAGCAGCCTTAAGGGCACCCTAGACCCTAAACCCAAAAAGGCAGGCCGTTTTGGTTTCAGTTGTAGGAGTCGCAGACTTCGGATGCCAGGGGTTTAGCGACTCCCATGTGCGAGTTTCCGAAAACCGGGGGTTCACCTTATTTTGGGGTCCTTATACTATAAGGATCCTACTTTGGAGGGTACTATACTAGGGTCCCCTTTTTCGGAAATCCTAAACCCTTATAGAGCCCTGTAAAGGAACCCTTTATAGTACCCTTATAGTAACCCTTTAAAGGAACAAAAAGGGTCCCCCTTTTTTCGGAGACTCCCATGGTCAGGTCGGCGCCGGCCGTTCGCGCCGTATTCGAAGCACAGGGCCTGAAACCTGCCGGGAGTCGCGAGGCCGCTGCGCTGTGGTTCGTGAAGAATGTTCTTGTAGAGCTTAATTAAGCAACAGCTTAGGGTTCCTTCAAGGGATCTATAAGGTTTAGGATTTAGGCGACTCCAATTTCTCCATAAAGCTTGTGTGGCTTCTAGGGTTTAGGAGAAAGCTTGTGTGGCTTCCCTGTGATGGAGTGTGTGAGGGCCTGGGAATTAGCTATAGTCCACGGTCTAGGGCTCGAAGTGCCGCATCTCGGTTAGCGTTTGGGATTTCGGGTTTGCTTTTTGGTTTAGAGCTTGACAGTTTACGGCTTTGAGAATCACGGTTTCGGCGCTTCTCTAACTTCAGGGGATGGAGCTCAAGGCTAAACCCTAAACCCTTAAACCCTGAACCCCTAAACCCCTAAGCCCCTAAACCCTAACCCCCTAAGCCCCTGAACCCCCTAGTCTCGGTGGGAGCTATGCTGCGAGGGTCAGTCCGAAAGAAGCTGTGGATTTTTTTACCCCAAGGAAGCCCAGAAGTACCTATAGTCTCCATTGTAGTTCCTTTTTCGGGTTACCTTTTAGGATCCTTAATATATAAGTGAACTACAATGGAGACTGTAGGTAGTAGCTGAGTGAATACACTTTACACTTTGGGATAAGATCACCCACTATAAAGCTAAAAGTGTACATTTTAGGGGGGGCTTATGACCTCCGCAACTGAGAAGCACAGAAGTAGCTACCTGGGTGCGTAGGCTAGTCGGGGAGTAAATGGTCATTCTATATTGTCCTTTACTTGGGCTAAGTAAGAGGACTGCTAGAATGACCAAATTCCCTTCATCATAACTTTGAACCATCCGTACAATTACCCGGCAGCTCGAGCTTGACATGGAGTTCCTTGTTGTTGCGTCCCTTATTTCCTTACTAGGGGGCCCTGACCATGAAAGCAGGTGTTGCAAGCCCTGAGGCCCTTGCTCGAAGGTGCCGCACAGGATGTGCCAAGCCCCTTTAACCTAACCAGAGCATTACAGAACCTCTACAACGGGAAATCCCCACCTCCCTCCCCTACCAAACTACCCTAAGGCCCAATAGTAGTTCCTTTTTAGGATTACCTGAAAGGATTCTATATTTGAACACCAAAAAGGAACTACTATGGGGCCTCTGGGTAGACCTAAAGCATGAACCCTAGAACCCTCAACCTTAAAGAGGCAAGCCCAAGCCCTAGCTGCTGTAAGTCCGCCCACGCCCAAACCCAAGAAGTTCCATAGCCGAAAAGATTTCAATCTATCCTAAGGCCCCAAAGTAGTTCCTCTTTGTGGTTCATATTTAGAATTCATAAGTTAATCCCAAAAAGGAACTACTATGGGTCCTTAGGGTACCATGCACCCCCATCCCCAAGCCCACCTCCACCATGCATCCCTATGCCGTGAAGAGCGCAAGGGCTGAAGGCACCACGGATTGCAAGGTACTATTCCATGGCTTTACTCTAAATCCCCAAAGTAGTTCCTTGAATTACCTTATAGGGTTCTACATCATGAACCCCAAAAAGGAACTACTTTGGGGCCTTAGGGTAGGCAGGTGTTTGGAGGGTGGGCTTCTCTAGGGGCTTCTCGAAGTTTACTCCAAACCCCAAGAGCCCTAAACCCTTCATCCCCCACCAGACGTGGCACAGGCGCAAGAAACCAACCTTGACGAAGCCCAAAGCAAGGCTGGGAACTTGAGCCAGAGACTCCTGAGTGCAGCTTAAAGGATTTCGAGATTCAAAGTTGAAATCTCAAGCCAAATTGTCAAACTCAGCGCGTCGAACCATCCTACGAGCCGTCGGTTCTCACCATAGTCCTGCCCCTCCACGTGCTTTTTTGTGAAATTGAAGATGTCCTGGATTGGAGGAGAGACCAGTTCAACTTCAGAACTTGAGGCAACCTATGTAACATAGAGGTCCGGACAACTAGTAGCCCCCTTCAGCCCTTACGTACGTAGTCTTTGGTAGGCCCGAAAACCTTATGAATCTACGGTTGGTAAACCACATCTGAAGCTATCGTGTTCGTGGATGTTCCCCGATTTGTCGTGCGGTTCGGTTTCTGCAGTATGGTTTAGCAACACTGACCCGTCGTTTAGGTACCTCCTCAGCAGCCAAGTGGCAATCCTTGCAGTTTCGAGCATGTGAGTTGCTCAGCTCTTTGCATGTGATTCGACACGTACCCTCATGGCGTCTGACTCGACAAGAACGCAAGGCTTATGCAACTCTTGTACGAGAGGCCCCCGGGTTTTCTAGGGGGGGGGGGGCCCAGGGCTCTGAAAGGGTAGGGTTTAGGGTTTAGGGTTTAGGGGTTAGGGGTTTAGGGGTTTAGGGGTTTAGGGGTTTAGGGTTTAGGGTTTAGGGTTTAGGTGTAGGATTTTGGGTCTGAGCCAAGCCCTAATAGGAAGTTTTCAGGGAGCCCTTGAAAGCTCCGTAGAATCCTATAAGGCACCCTTGGAAGAATCGGTACAGGTTCCAATAGGAGAAGCCTAGTAACTAGTAGTCGAGCAGGTAACCTTTAACCTTTTTTGGTCTCACGCCTTTCGCTGGGGACGCAGCTTATTCCACGTCGCGCTTTAACCTTTTTTGGGTAGTATAGTCCCTATATAATCCCTGTATACCCAAAAAGGTTAACCTTTAGTTCCCCATGATACCCGACAAGTAGGGAAGCTCTATTGCACGAATTCCTCGTCCCCTTAGGGTTTGCTGACGTCAGGTGACCCTGCGCCACGTGACTACGCTCCTGGAACGGACTGTGCCATTGCGCAAAGGTTGTGTCATAGGATCGTCTATAATGGCTAGACGAGTTTTCATAAGATTTATTTAGGGTGTGCCGGGTTTAATCATCCCGCATGTTCAGCAGGTCATACGCTGCCATTTTGCCAGTGGGGGGGCTTCGTGGGCTCAGGATCGAGCGTTTTACAGTTATACAAGGCATCCAAAGAGAGCGGGCCTTTGCTGTCGGATATGAGTATACACGGCAACCTGTTAATCATCTCCGGCTCCACAGCAAGCAGCTAGCAGGAGTGGCGCTTGCATCGGAGTATCGGAGGTTATTCTGTCAGTGGTGTCACAGATAGCGGATGCATCAGCAGCATTACAAGACAATTCGCCCGAAATAAATCCCTAACCATCTGAGTCTAAACCACAAGTCCCTGAAGAGCCCTGAGGCCTTCCTTTGGGAGTTTCCATAAACTAGGGGTGCCTTATTCTGGGGTCCTTCTAAGAAGGATCCTACTACTTCGGGTGCTATAGTAGGGTCCCCTATCTTCGGAAACTCCCATTTCATCTGAGCAAAAAGGTTTGCGTGCCCGTGAATGCCTGCATCCGGGATGTGAAGAAGCTCATCGTCCGCCTCACGAACCGAGGCTGAGTCTCGATGCTCTCGGCCTGCCTGGGTTTAAGGGTTTGGGGCGTAGAGGCTTATAGGGTTTAGGGTTTGGAGATTTTAGGGGTTTAGGCTTTAAGGGTTAGGGGTTTGAGGTTTAGAGTCTTAACAGGTTGTTTAGGGTTTGGGGTTTAGGGGTCAGGGGTTCCGGGTTTAGGATCCAAGAACCTAGTGTTTATGGGTTGCACCCAGGGGTCATAGCCTACTCCTCTGTGGGGTTTTGGGGCTGCGGATTGAGATTTGGGGTTTGCCCTTCGGAAGAATGTCGGTTCAGATTCAACAGAAAGATTGAAATTGGGTGTATATATGGCTTACGGTTTAACAGTAAGGTTAGCTTTACAACAGTTTTGCACGGTGTAAGCTGCCTTTTTGTTCGGAGTAAGCCGCCTTTTTGTATAGTCCTTGCTCGGATCGATGCTGACATCCGGCAAGAAGTAGGCTTTTGAAGGCAGCTTGAGGTCAAGAGTACGAGCCCCATACTGTGTAGATCCATAATGTCAAGATCCCCACCATAGCCTGTAATCGGGGCCTGGATGCTATGTCGATAAGCAGCACTAGCAAGTCCCTGTTGGGGGCCCTTAATGTGTAGAGCCTTAATAATACTTGTAAGAGTGATTTCCAACCTGTGTATCGGCTGTCATCTTTCACTTTTGGAGTTTGCCCTTCAATAGACTCTTCGGGCTACTCCAATTAAATTCCACAGGGTTCCGTTCCGTTTCTTGTACGATTGGATATTGTAATTTGGGGTTGTTCCAACTTGGAACCATGTTCCCCGACGCAGAAACAAGAGCAACTGTCACTTTGCTTGAGACATCCGTACTGAAAGGTTCCGAAGCCGCTGCGTGGGCTCATGGCCAGATCTCTTCTTCAGCAAAAGATTGCAGCTGTAAGTTTCCAGTTCTGCTCTCCCGAAACAGTGGTAAGATGCTGCGCATCTTCATGCTCTCAGGAGAGATGGTGGTAAGCATTCCTGCAGAGGAGCTGGAGGAGCTCAGCGACATAAGAGGCTTGAAGCGCCGATTGAACCAGTCGCACGGTGCAGTCCCACGGTTCAGACAGAAGTTCCTCTTCGACGGCGTGGATCTGGAGGAGACGGACATGCTGAGTTCAGCCATGGATCTGTATCTAGTGGTTTTGCCGTTCGCCGACGTGCCCCAATCGCAAGTGGACCATCTGCTAGCTGCTTCTGATCGGGGCTTCGTTTCCGAGGTGGAATCAATGCTGCTACTTCCTCAAGATCCAGACATGTTTGGTATGGGCGGCTGCACAGCTTTGATGAATGCATCCGCTGCAGGTCATTTCGAGATCGTCCAATTGCTGCTAGAGGCCGGTGCAAGCAAGGATGTGGCGGACAACGAGGGGCGCACAGCTTTGATGATGGCTTCTGAAAACGGGATCGTGCGCTTGCTGCTGGAGGCCGGTGCCGCCACAGATGCGGCAAACAACGAAGGGCGCACAGCTTTGATGATGGCTTGTGAAAACGGCCATGAGGAGATCGTGCGCTTGCTACTGGAGGCCGGTGCCGCCACAGATGCGGCAAACAACGAAGGGCAGACAGCTTTGTTTTGGGCTTCCTGCCAAGGTCATGTGGAGATCGTCCGCTTGCTGTTGGAAGCCGGCGCCGTCGCGGATGCGGCAGACAATGAGGGGCTCACAGCTTCGTTTTGTGCTTGCGATAGGGGTCATGTGGAGATTGTCCGCTTCCTACTGGAGGCCGGTGTGGCCGCGGATGCGGCAGACAAGCAAGGTTACACGGCTTTGAGCTGGGCTTGCGGCGAAGGCCATGTCGAGATCGTCCGGTTGCTGTTGGAAGCCGGCGCCGTCACGGATGCGGCAAACAGCGATGGGGAGACATCTTTGGTTTGGGCTTGCCTTAAAGGTCATGTCGAAATCGTCCGCTTGCTGCTAGAGGCCGGTGCCGGCAAGGATGTGGCGGACAACGAGGGGTGCACAGCTTTGATGAGGGCTTGTGAAAACGGTCATGTGGAGATCGTGCGCTTGCTACTGGAGGCCGGTGCCGACCCCGATGCTGCAAACAACGAGGGGGACAGAGCTTTGTCTTGGGCTTGCGAACGGGGTCATCTCGAGATCGTCCGCTTGCTGCTGGAGGCCGGTGCCGGCAAGGATGTGGCGGACAACGAGGGGTGCACAGCTTTGATGAGGGCTTGTGAAAACGGTCATGTGGAGATCGTGCGCTTGCTACTGGAGGCCGGTGCCGACCCCGATGCTGCAAACAACGAGGGGGACAGAGCTTTGTCTTGGGCTTGCGAACGGGGTCATCTCGAGATCGTCCGCTTGCTGCTGGAGGCCGGCGCCGACACTGACGCGGCAGACAGGAACGGGTACACTGCTTTCTTTTGGGCTTCTGGGGGAGGTCATGACGAGATCGCCCGCATGCTGTTAAATCAAGGTGACAAGGATGTAATAAGATCAGTATAGACTTGTTTGCCTGCTTCTGAGGGATGGTGCGGACAAGGGTCACGCCACGGGTCTGGGGTTAAGGGTTTCCATTTGGTTTTGGATCAACATGAGAACCCTCTTAATAACATGAATAGTAAAGGTCCTGAGTAGCTAGGACATTGATTTTATGATTACTGTCGTGCTCCGTGATCAGGGCCGAAGATCAGATATCCTCCCCATTATCTCGAGGTCCTTAATTAACAGTGAGACAATTAGAATTAGATCCTCAATACCAAGATCCCGATTCTGAGCCTCCATAGGGCGGCTTGACATGTCCTTGAAGTGCCGCGACGTAGAGCCACTATCAACCACCCGGGCTGGTTGGAAGTCTCATGCCAGTGAGCCCTCTTCAGTCCAGAATCTGCATGCTCAGAAGATACAAACTCGATTTCTGAGACACTGGACCGATTTGCGATGATTTTGCATCCGGGATGCTCAACATGAAGCATTTCAAGCACACGTCGCAGCCCGAATCAGTAACCCCTTCGGAAAATACGGAACTCTTCATGCAAATCGAACATGCTTAGGACCGGTAAGATAAGGATGCCCGAAGGGATCCCGTATGCTTAAAGCAGCCACGAAACCCAACCCCCCAAGCCTTTCTACCACTTTGTTTGGCTCGCTTCGAATGCTAATAGAATCCTTGCAGAGCTCTCGTATCGTAGACCCTGAACACTACCCATAGGCCCCATAGTAGTTCCTTTTGGGGATTGCCTTATAGGATTCTATATGATGAACCCCAAAAAGGAACTACTATGGGGCCTCTGGGTAGTAAGCCTTAAACCTCAGACCCTAAACCCCTGAGCCCTAAACCCCTAAACCGTAAAGCCTCAAACCCTAAATCCCTAAACCCCTAAAACCCTGACCCCCTAAACCCCTAAACCCTAAACCCCTATACCCTAAACCCCCTAAACCCTAAATCCCTAAACCCTGAAGCCTTAAACCTAGGTAGGAGGGAAAAAAGCCTTAAACCTGTAGCCCGAAAGATGGCTGTGTTCGAAGAGGCTCCTGGCGTCGTGTCGCCCTGTTGTCTGAGTGCGGCAGAGCCTTGCTTCAAGCTTAAGAGAGAGAGGGTTTAGGGTTTAGGGTTTTAGGGCTTTAGGGTTTTGGGCTTTAGGGGTTTAGGGTTTAGGGGTTAGCGATTAGGGGTTTAGGGTTTAGGGCTTTGGGGGTTTAGGGGTTGGGGTTTTGGGTTTAGGGCTTTAGGGTTTAGGGGTTTAGGGGTTTAAGCTTTGGCTTTGCGGGGTGTAGGGTTGCGGTATGCTGTGATGAGCTTTGGGCTCTACTTAACCGAGATGCGAAACAAAAGGCGGGGATCATGACCCTTGAAGTGTTGTTTAGAAGCCCTTACAACAACAGGCCATTGGAGCTGCATGCACACAGGATTCAGGGTTTAAGCTTGGTTCGTTTCTCACTGCCTAACTGAACCCATAACTCAATAGGGGCTTCCTTTTTCAGGAGCCCTTGCTATCTCTGTTTTTGTCATGGGTTACTGTAATTTCTAACCCCCGCAGAATGCAAGAAAGAGCTGATCAGCTGCTTTACTCTGGTATCAGCCCAACCACCACCGCCAAGTCTTAGATGTGTTGGTTTGGTCTAGATTAGGGATGCCCGTTTAAGGGTGTGGTTATCCTCACAATGCTAGTTGTTTTGCGGTGCCAGTTTTTTGCGGTTGATATACCAGGGTTTTCTCTTATTCAAACTCCCATATTGGGATGTTGACCATGAAGGAAGGATACCACTTCAGGCGACCGTATTTCTGCTTTTTGATTTTACACTGCTGGGCCTATCCTTGCACAGGAGCACTGTGCGACAGCGACGGCTTGGGGGGAAGAGTACTGCTCCTGGCGGCACGTCTTGAAGTTGAGGGTACTTGGAGGTTCATGGGTAGTTATAAGTAGGGCCGGCAGTTTAAAGAGGCCTGGATGCAAACAGGGTATGGCTTCCACTCGAAGGTCCTTCTAAGTTTTCCGGCTTCCTTGGAAATTAGGACCTCGACTGCCTGTCAAGCAATATAGATCGAAGCCTGGGTAATGAGTAATGCTTTTCCTTTGGGTGCCGATGATAACTACAGTATATAATATCCTCCTGGTGCCCTATTGCAACAAGGCCCTTTGATGATAGAGCACCCGTGCCTCCCATACAGTCGGAGATCTCTTTGATTTGGACTGATGGTTTGAGGTCCAGGGTTCGGGGTCAGGCTTCAGTTTGGAGCCTTCCTGAATAGGCACGAGCACAAAATCGAATTATTACTAGGGTTGCTTTATTAAAGCTTCCATATGGCTAGACAGGGGTGTATTAATTCCTCTTCTAGTTATCGCATGCAGACTCTCCAACACGAGAGGTTCAGGATTAGTAGGAGACTAACTATATACGCGAAGACCTTTTCAATAAACAACAATCCTTTGGAGGGCAACCGGAAACCGACAGTCCGGAAGCCAGAAGTCCAAGTAAACTGTAATCCTCACCTGTGGCTCCAACCACATACTGTTCTGAGGGGTATACTAGGGTTTGGGTGCAGGTAGGAAGCCATACTCACAAGATCCTCGTTACCCTAATTGCATGCCCTTGAGAGCTCAACCCAATGCCACCTCCGCCACTGTTTCTTAGCACAGCAGCCTTCGCCGCAGATTAGAGTAACTCCATTCTTCGAAGACCACGACTTGGAGCTTCGGCAAATGAAGGGGCCTGAAATAAAACCCAAATAGTAGGATCCTCATTGACCCCGAAAGGGAGCCCTAAAAGAAAACACCACCACAGAGACCCAGCGAGTTGCACCCTATACACCGAGACGAACCTCCGCGAAAAAAATAATTTCCACCTTACTACACCTTCGAGCCTTAAAGCAAGAAGCCCTAGATCTACTCTCAAACCCCCAAGACCTACCTCATCTTGAAGCACGTGTTAGTACCATACCTATGCACCAGTAGAATATCGTAGTACATATCAGAAAATATTTATATACACGTAAATAAATATGTAGATACACATACACACCTACACACATGAATACTTACTTACTTACACAGTTACTTGATTACACAACTGCATGCACACGTACTTGTATACATACATACATGCATGCATACATGACGACATGGTTGCACACTTGCATGCATGAATGCATTCATGCCTACATACTTACATCGACCAGTAGATCATACCATGTTCATATTTATATATATATATATGTATATAGAGAGATTAGTAGACACATTGTCTCTGTGTCTACATATCTACACCTGCTAGTACATATATAGCTTTGTTTGTGATCATCGCTACGAGTACAGACCCAGAAAGCCGCCGCTTAGGTCGCTGATGCCCGGTCCGTGGAAGCGCAAAAGGCGGCAGAGAAGCTCCTACCCGAAGAGGTTCCGCCAAAAGGGATCTATCAGGGTATTTCGGTATTACGATAGGGGCCTTAGTGATTCGAACAGGGTTCCTTTTTCAAGGGGTCTATAAGGGTAACCACAACAAGGGATACTATAAGGACTATACTATAGGGGCCTTAATAATTGGGTGTTCCTTATTATAGTCATAGTATAATGGGCCCCCAAAACCCTATTCTAATTCTTAAAGCCACTGTATTATGGGTGTAGGGATTGGGGTTCGGGGGATAAGCTAGGGATGCTACGGGTCAGGTGGGTCAGGGACGCTTAGGGTGTGGGTTTACTTTTTCCTGCAAAGGCCCCAAAGAATCCAATCCGCTGCTCGGTTTATCCAAGGTCCGTCACAGATCTACAAGTAAAGTATACGGTTCCTTCAATGGGGATCTACGGCGGTGCTATGGGTTACATGGAGAGGATCAGCTAGTCGGTTTATACAAGGGTTGCTGTCGATCTGTCTATCTGTCTATCTATCTATATGGTGCCAAAAACGCTGACGGGTTTCGATAAAGGCTCTACCCGAAGAGGATCCGGCAGGAAAATTGCATAGGGGTTTGTAATTTTAACAGGGCTTGGCGTCATATGCAACCATACCTCAAGAGGATGCGCTGGACACATCAATGTAGAAGCAAGTCCCCTAAACCCTAGACCTCCCCGGGGGGATCGCGAGTGTGAAAGCATAAACCTGGTTCAGGGGTTCTTTAAATCCCAAGCCATGCGGTGTCAGTCAGGAGCGTTGGCCGAAGTGGAGCCAAGAAGATCTCAGCATCGAGGTCCCTGTTGAGGGTGTCTTCAACCTACGGCGTCCCTATGAAGAGGATCATAGTCTTTGAACCAAAGGCGTCGGCATACATGCTAGTCGGGTAATACTCCCAAACTCTATAGTCATACTAGAACATACCCCCGAAAAGCCTATTATGATGCTTTATAGGGCCCCTATATGTCAAAGAGTGCATGCTGGGGTCTGTTTAAGCCCCAAACCCTAAAGCACAAGCCCGTAACCGCACCACAGTTTCTCAAACTAGTCAGGTTGGAGTATAGAGTGTAGAGACTCCGCGGGTTTCATAGTTCAAAGAGGGTCGGGGTCCAGGGGACAAAACAGAGAGCCTTGAAGGTTCGCAGACTTGAGGTTCTTAGTGGCTGAGTGAATATTACCCACTATAAAACTGAAAGTTTACACTTTTGGTGGCTTATGACTAGGTGGCAATTTGAGAAACTTGTTAATTTCCCTTATGGTTCCTATAGAGGTACCTATTCATAAATACTTTTCAGAGCCCCAAAACTACAACCCAGATGAACTCAGGAACTAAAGAGATCCATCGTTCGGTGACATCGGGCTCAGGGTTTCTGGATTTCGCGGGACCTACATTTTGTGTTGAGGGGAGTTGAGGGTTTCATGAATTGGGGCTTTAAGTAGAACCCTGATCTACAAACCAGACCGTACGAGTAGAAGGGATCCAAGCATTTGGCCCTGAAAGACAGAGGGTTCATTGATTCAGCGGGGTTATCTCTTCGCGGGACCAAACAGCAACTTCTTCCCGCATGTATGGCATGCGGAGAAAGTTCAGGGAAGGGAGATAATACGAAGAACCGAAAGAAAACACGCAAACATCCAAAGCCTCTGCCAAGAGACAGAGACTCATATCTGTGAGTGCCATGGTGTCCAAGTTTGGTGATGGCGATGGTGGAGATGCAGGAGATGACTGCTGTTCCGCTCCTCTTGTTTGAATATGAGTGCCGTTTCCATTTTTGATATTATGACGAAGATGATTTTGACGAGGGCGATTGCGATGGTGATCTCGAGGATGATGCTTTCTCATCGCTTCTGCCCTTGCTAGTGATCTGTCTTGTCCTGAAAAGAGCCCGAAACGCTATAGCGTGATCCTATACCACTCTTCTGGCAGGCAGCACGACGCGGTATAGACCTACAGCCGTGCGGAGAGGCCAACGACGTAAGGTTGCCCAAGCACCGATCCTATGTATAGCCAGGGTGTTGGGGCATTGGGGTATGTGACATGAGAACAGATGCAGAACAACGCCGGACTATACTACTCAATATTCAGATCTGATATCTACTTCTCCCAGTCACCCAGCCATACACCCTGAGCTGCACGGTGTGCAGTCTAGGGTTCAGCGATTCGGTGGAGAGTAAACCGTTAAACCTTAACCCCGTGTTGCCAGTCGAAGTAGAGTTTATGCTCGGGGATTTGCTGGTTCTTTACAAGGATCGTTCGCAATTTTGCTGAGAGAAAACTATTGTCTTACTATGGGGCAACTGGTAGCAACAACCCTGCTTATAGGCTGTAAACTCAACTTTTCAACGTTTGGGATTCCTATATGTTAGGCGATTCTGAAAGTTTCAACTTTTATTTCTTTGGGTTTTGGGCCAGTGAGCCTGCTGGTGTCTGGCCCACATAAGTCCCGCGGACCTGCACACGGTACTTATTCAGCCAGCAGCACCGAAGCTTGTCGGGGCCAGGGGAAGGGAAAGCCAAAAGTAACGACACCCTATCTCTCCGTAGCCCTTCTCAGACTAAGGGAGAGAGAGACAGAGAGAGAGAGAGAGAGAGGGACAGTTCTAAGTGCAGAAGTGCCGAGGGCTTTAGGCTTAGGTAGGGTTTAGAGTTTAGGAGAGAGAGGAGTAGGGTTTAGGGCTTCGGGCGTATAGAGTTTATGGCTTAGGATTTAGGGCTTCGGCGTGAACCCTGTGCAAACCCGCGGGTTAAACGAACCCTTATAGATCCCTTTCAAGGAACCCTAAGCTATGGTAACTTAAACAAAATTCCTTGACCCCGAAACCCTTAAAGAACCCTTGGCAGAAACCCTTATAGATCCCTTCAAGAAGAACCCTTCTAAATCCCTTAAATGACCCCCTGAATTCCCTTAAAGGAACCCTCACGGGTTTCGTGTTTGAGGATTCGGCCGTTGTTTGTTGCTAGGCGCCGACGCGCGAGAGCCTCCTCGCCTGCCTCTTGCAGGCGGGTTTTGTCCGCAGAGAGCCGAAGACCCTCATATATCCATATATATATATATATATACGCACGTTTGTTTACTTAGACTTATGTATATGTATATGTATATATATATATATATATGTATATGTATATGTATATGTATATGTATATGTATATGTATACGTATATGTATATGTATATGTATATGTATATGTATATGTATTGTATGTATATGTATATGTATTGTATGTATATGTCTATGTATATTTGTATGTATATGTCTATGTATATGTATATGTATATGTCTATGTATATGTATATGTATATGTATATGTATATGTATATGTATATGTATATGTATATGTATATGTATATGTATATGTATATGTATATGTATATGTATATGTATATGTATATGTATATATATATGTATATATATATATATATATATATATATATATATGATGCAGGGCTGCCACACCCCCCCTCCCCCCCCCACCCCATGGTATCCTCCCCCCTTCCCCCCCGCCCCCCCTGTGGTGTGGGGCCTGTGGTGGTACTCTTTTTGCCACGACGTTCTTATGTGTTACTCCTTGTCTTCCCTCTTGTTGTGGCACCGGTGATACTGCTCATGATGTTGTGCTGCTCTAGACCGGGACATGAGTCGACGATCATACCATGCTCAACATCATCCTTGTCGTCGTCATGTTCATCATTGATACCTTCAAAAGAAGATCTGCCACCATCACCATCGCAATACAACCCTCATAATTCAGCATTGCAATTCACGTCAGATGCCGCTTTCCGCACACGGCAGGGCATAGTGCGACACTCCCGATCCGCGCACAAGGTCAAGGGGCAGGCAAGGTGCGGGCCGGGGGCGGCGGGGCGGGCAGGGCGGGTGGGCGTGCAGCAGCAGGGCGGCAGGGGGTTGGGGGGGGGGGGGGGATACCATGGGGGGGGGGGGGTGGCGGCCCGGGACCCGAGAGCATATATATATATATTGTATGCTCTGTACATACACACGCATACATACATACATACATACATACATACATATATATATATATATATATATATATAAATGTATATGTTTATATTTGTTTATGGGCCTGAATAGTTCGAACTGGTTGTTTGTTGGAGCCGGGGATTGTTGTAGTTTAACCATGTACAGTTGACACGGTTCCACGGTTGCCAACTATTCCAGATCCCTTTGCCGGTAAAGAGCAGCGGGAGGATAGTGGGCTGAACAACATGACGCAAGGAATGCACCTCTGTTCACAATCCAGAGGTACTGTAAAACCCTTACAGTACCCTTATAGTAATCTAAAGGAACCCTGAGGTACCCCTAACTTTCGGAAACTCCCAGGTGAAGAAGTGGGAGTCGCAGCCTTCGGCTGAGCTCCGGGCCGAGGCAGCGTTCATTCCGGAAGAACAGAAGTCTGGGATGCGTAGAAAGAGGAGTTCATATTCTAGGGTTCTATAGGGATTCCATGTAGGGGTTTGGGGTATATAGTTTTTGGGCATGCAAAGTAAGGGGTCTAGGGACCCATGGGTTCCTTTAGTCGAAAGGGCTCCTTAAAGGGCTCGATAGGGTTCTAGAATATAGGGGCGTTCATACTTAGAATAGGGTTCCTTTAAAGGGGTCTATAGGGGTCCCATATAGGGGTTTGGGGTATGTATATAGGGTTTGGGGTTTAATAGGGTTTAGGGTTTAGGACAATTAGGATGTTTGCTTAGAAGCTGAGTAGGTAACCTTTAACCTTTGGGGTTTTATAGAATCCTACTATAAGTAAAAGGTTAGCCGTTTTTAGGCTAGGGTACACAGCCTCTAGGCATAGACCTAGGGAGATGAGTCAGTTAATCGGGCAATGACCAGTCATACTCACCTTTGTGTGTTCGTATCTTGCACATGCAATTGCATGATCTGTTGAACTACCCCAGGTATGTAGATAGATAGTGTATGTTGGTTGTTGCGGGTGATGTCCTAGTTGATTCGAAAGTCTTCATGAAGTCAACTGATTCCAGGGACTTGTCTAGCGTTGGAGAAGGGTTGATAGGCTTTCAGGGCCGTTGGCATTTAGGTGATGTAGCCCATAGCGGTCTGAGCAACTGCTTTACCCCATTCTATCCCCGTATACTAATATAATGTGCCCCAAAGCCCTGTTCTAACTATGAACCACAAGACCCCCCCATCGGCCAGTTTGGCTTCCGGCTGCAAGGGGTCTCCAAGGTCTCGACAAGCTTGCACCCCTAAGCTTGCTCAAGGCCCCAACTTCGCAACCACAGCATGGCAGGCACTCCGCCGCGGGCTTCCCGGCGAGGCGCGCAAAAAGGGGCGGCAAATTTGCAGGGTCTTAGGTTTCAGGATTTAGAACTTTAAGAGCATACATTTCAGGGGTGTGCGTTCTTGTTTGATGATGGGTTGTGCTTCTTGGTCGAGGGTGTTGATGCAGCGGCGGATGTGCCGTTTTGCCTGCAACGGAGTCTCGTAGAGTTGCGGGTGTTTCTTCGGCTCAAGATTTGGATCCAAGAATTCCTTTGTTGGGTACCATGCGTGCACATGGAAGCACGGAAAGCAATCAAGTCCAACGGAAATCTGCTGAAGCCGATTACTGGTAACTTTTTAGGGATGGAGGGTTCTGCCTCGAAGTACGTCATATTGGCCTTGAAACTTTCTGGCACTCTACCATCTCATGTTACAAGGCATGGTTCTGTAACTGTCCAGACAGTTCTACCCTCGGCTTGACCAGGAACTACCCAGGGTATCACCTGAGTTTTGTTGCACTGGAGGTACCTACCTACCTGGTGGGACCCACCTATGGCTTGGCATAGCTTGCCGAAAGAACCAAGAGTTGTCCGGGTGTGAGACTCTCTGTGTGTCTGTGTAACATGGAAACCTGAATACTTGGTCATACTATTCCCCCTGCTGCATAGATTTGCCTATTGAAATAGTTCAGGCCCCTAACTTAGCATAGGTTTGTACCGACTTCTGCCATAAACCAAAGTTCCTGCTGGCCAGTCCTCCCCGGATCGGGGCGAGCTTTTGGAGCTGCCGCTGGTCCTGTTTAGTGTTTATAGGTTTAGGGTTGGTTTAGCGTGGTTTAGGCTGTTTGCGGTTAACATCAGCTAGCGCATCTGACCCCAGTTTGGTGTAAAGACAGATGCGTAGATAGGTTAAACTCCCTAAACCCCAACGCTTAAATCCAAAGAACCCTTGAAGGAACCTTGCATTTCGGGTGTTGTCTTTCGGCGGTTTTATGGTTTGATGAGAGCATGTTGTCATCTTGGCTTGCGAAGTCAGTGAAAGCTTTAACAAAACTGGAGCTCGGGGACCTTGACCGCACGCATCTACTGCGTGATACTGCGTGCACAACTCCGAGACGATATCAGCACCGACATTTTGAAAGGCGTGTTAAGGCCTGGCAGTTCCCATCTGAGCGCGGCAAAAGCGAACCGTTCGGAGTTAGCAGCGTTTTAGGTGTTGGGGAGAGAGTCTCGAACATGGCCCGAATGCGTCCAGCCAAGTTTCTCTAAAGCCGACAGCCAACCTGAAAGAGAAAACCTAAGCTCTGCAAGAGCAAGCCGCCTGACCCCGAAGGTCTTGAATCCTGAGAAAACAGCACACCACGCAACACACACACACACACACGCACACGCTTTCGTGGAGAACTGGAAGCCCAAGGATACTAGTCGCCAATGCTGACGATCATCTTCAGAAAGCGGCCGCACTGACTAACCCTAAGAGTTGGATTTGAGGTTAACGCTTTAACCCATCCCAGACCTTAAGTCCCCATCTTAAACCCTCAAGTCCAAGTTCGACGTCCAGTGCAATGAAGGCTCTTGCAAGACCTCTGTTGGGAGCACATGGGCCAGGAAGCGCTGTCAGAGGAGCCCGGAAAATCCTAATGAGCCCTGGGGCAGGCTTCGGGAAACTAGGGGTGCACCTTATAGTCCTTCAGGCACAACTTTCAACGTTAAGCGGTATTGCAGTCTGTCATTCCCTCCGCACTGTGTACCTTAATATCCACTGAATAAGATGTGTTGAAATAATTGCCAGGACTAGTCTCCATCCCCTGAACGTGAAACGTCGGGAAAAGAAACCCGACCCCGAGCCTCAAAGCCCTGCTTTTCGGGAGTTCTTTTTCAGTTCACTCCGCAGGAGTGCAGGTCTCAAGGCATCGCTCAGCCGGAGGCACAGGACTGGCCGGAGGGCTTAAAACAGCGCTGCCTGAGGTGTTTATAGGCTCTTCATGAGGATTCGATGAGAGGTTTTGTAGAGTTTCATGAGGGTTTGAACAAGTTTGAGGAGCACTTTAGTGGTGATATTGCGTGTGGATTGCCCTGCCGACTTCCCTTCAGCGCACAACCCTGGGAGTTAGGATTAGGGGGACCTTTGGGGATATAGACCCTCTCAATAAGGCCCCTTTTAAGAGAGCCAGAAGTAGGGTTCAGAAGGGGTACCCTTTAAGGGGTCCCCCTAATAATACTACCCAAAACCCTGGGCGAAGTCTTCAAGGGAAAGTGCGGCTGACCCCAGCGAGCCCCAGCCCCCCCAAGCCTTAAACCCAAAGCCACAACACGAGAGCCCGTCTCTACAGTCCCGATGTTCAAGTTGCTCTTGCAGCAGAACAGCAACACTTTGTCATAGTTGGGTAACATTTTACATTTTAATTGGGTACTTAAACCCAATAAGGAATAAAAATGTACATTCTCAATCCCATCCCAACCATGAACTAGAACAAGAACACTTGTGGGAGAAGTAACTAATTAGTAGAGATCGGCTTGGGGCCATTATCGGAGAAACGATGGTAACTGCGGCACCGACGCTGTTTGTACTTGCTTCGGATGCTGTGTGCCTAAGCAACCCTGATACCCATGGACTCCAATATCCCTTAATTAAGGAATATACCTTCAATCATATAAGGGATCCTACCACAATTTAAGGAATATTCCTTTATAAGGGATATTGGAGTCTCTGGATAGGAAACAACTTTGCTGCTGCGCGCAATGCGGAGCCGGCTGCGCCAGGTGACGAGACTGGTGCGCTAGGTTCAATCTCGCAAACCCTATTAAAGCCCAAACCCTGAACAACTAAAACCCTAAGCCGTGCTAGGTTCTACGGTTCGAGCATGTTTTAGCAGCTCGGCAGCTACACAAATACTGCGTAGATTTGAATTGTCGAAGTATCGCCTTTGAGTATCGTCATTTCTGCTGTTTCGGGCTTTGAGCTGGCAGTGTGAGCCCTTCGCATTTCGCCAGTTGGGGGGGAGGGGGCTGATCTGTTCTTCCACTTGCGTGGCATGCTCAATGTTCATTCATAGGACTGGCGGATAGCCGTGCTGAGGCCCAGCTCTCTAGAGTTTTCCCAGTACCAACTTTGCAAACAGAAGCCCTTCCGAACTTGCTGGAGAATTTCGGGTTCGTATGCTTAGCAGCTGGACCCTACGCTTGCCAAAAACAATGCTTAGCAGCTGACAGGGCACAGGGTCTACCTGAGGGAATGTCAGGTGCATAGGTGTGTTTAGCCGAGCTGTCCTGCATTGAGACATCCTGAAAGCTATAACTCTTACTTTAGTAAGTTATTCAGTGCGTGTTTGCAGGGGACTATCAACAACCGCATTGCCATTGATGGAACTGTCATCACCCGAACCTTCAAGCATATGCTTTAGCTGCTTTAGCTTCTGCTCGGAAAGCCCGCAGCCCCAGTCTATGAGACCGAAAAGCCATCAGCAGTGCCAGTTTTTGCAGGCTCTGCGCTGGTCCACGCTGGCTGCCTGGCTGGCTGTTTGTTTTTCGAGTGCCCTCGAAATTTAATTCTAAGTAACATATCCTGTTACATATCTCAAGTCTGCAGTGTTGAGAATCGAGGCGACAAGGATGGCGCTGATGATGGCCATCATGACAATGATGTTGATGATGATGCTGATGATGATGATGATGATGACGATGGTGACAGTAATACAAAAGATGTTGCTGATGATGCGATTGAAGATGTTGGTGATGGTGGCGATGACAAGTACTAGTAGCTGTTTTGCCACACCGGCTGCAACCTGGGTCAGGTCTCAAGAAATTCACCCAGCCTGACGTTCCCACCGGTAAGACCCTAAACCCTAAGCCCTAAACCCAAACCCAAACCACCTCCAACCCCTGCGAGAACTATGTAAACCAAACAACCTAAACTCGACAAACCTAACGCCTAAAGGCTAAGACCTAAACCCTAAGCCTGAGACCTCGCTGCCGCAAGCTTCCATGCGCTGCAGCCCCCAAGCCTTCATGTCCGGAGTTTCAAGTTGATTCTATCACGGGACTCTTCCTGGGTAATTAGCCAATACCAGTCATTCCTTATCGCGTCTGACCATATATGGTCCGGAAGTACAGGAGCTCCCTCTGTCGGCCGGAGAGGCACTTCAATGCACTTGTGCCCAGGACATGGAGAAGTTGCGAGAGGCTTGCGAAATGCGGCACATGCCTACTGAAGGCCCGGGGTGGGCAGAGCCTTGCTGATCTTGCCCTCCCTCTGAGAGCCGTTGACTTGATGTTGTGTAATGTTGGGATGGATCTGCACACGTGGCTTTCCCAGAAGAAAGGATAGTAGCAGGCGCGTGTGCCTGTTCAGAGTTAGCTGCTGGATGGTCAGTTGCCCCGCTACCTCACCCGCTTGGTGAGTGCGACTGCCAAGAAGCCCCCCTGAACCTTCCGCCGTTCCATGCTTCGAAACTTGCACTGCTCGTGACCCCCAGCCCGAAGCAGGGGCTGTGGGCCGTACAGGCTTCGTACCTGAGTACACAGTATTTAATGCCCTTTCAACCTAATAGCAAGCCACGCAAATCGATGATGTACACACGCTGGGGGTCCGCATACAGGGGTGTAGGATTCAGGTTGGCCGTATGTACATGACCTTAGCTCTAAACCCTAAGTGCCGCAGTCGGCAGTAGTTGCGGCACTGCCGGTCACCCGCAGATCTGGCCTGGGAGGGAGCTCAGATGCAAGGAGGGATGCAAACTATCAGCTAAGGCTTAGAGTTGCATATCGGGCCTGCCAGTCTTGATTACTATACTGGCCTGGGGCTTGAAGCATTAACCCCAAGAACTCAACCCATTCACTTGATATTTGCTTGAAAAGCACGTGGCAACATCCGAACCATGGAACCTGAACGTACCTGAAGCCATAAGCCCGTTAGCCCATCCCTGAACCGCCCCCCCCTCCAACAAAAAAAACAACCCTCGAAACTTCGAAGCTTCCACGAAGGCTGCACTCGCTCGCAGCTCTTGGACGCCTTGAAGACTTTCAAGGCCTTGGCAGCAGGGCTCCGGGTTCTTGCGAATGCCCGTCCTACGTGCTCACATCTGTCTTTTTGTATATGTATATCAACATTAATATCTATATCTCTGTATCTATATCTATATACACGGAGAACACTTGCCCAAGCCATAATCGTAAATCCACCATAGAAACCCTGACTTCGATTATTCATGTAGGACCTTTGCGTTTGAGGATGACTCTTAAAACCAAGAGTTGTTTGTTACCAGATTTACCAGATGTCCGCTGTCAGCTTATATGAAGCTTCCAAACTTCAAGTGGGCCAGGGTTGAAAGCCTAATTCGGGGTTTAAGCAATTACCTATATTATGTTGTGCTTTCCTTCTTGTAATTATAGTAGAATGGGCCCCAAAACCCTCTTCTAACTATAAAGTCCCCTATATTACACACTTGGTTCTTGTTCAAGGAGTTAATTCAAGTTACCATAATCGGCATGGAAACCCCATCGTCGTCTATACCATCAAATGCCATTATATGAAATCATTTGGTGTAATTCAGTATACTATAACACCATACAATACAACGTAACATAAGCTAGCATACAATATGTAGCTATTACCGAACCTTGTAACTCCATAGACCCTAAGTTTCAGTCTTTTTCGGACCCATGCAGGTCATGCCAAAGCCGAAACCGAAGCCGAAGCCAAAGCCCGAGACGAGGCCCGCGGTGCATGCAGGGCGGGTCCGGTGATTTAGGGTTTCGGGTTGAAGGGTCTTATTGTGATACATGATAATGACACTGCTTAATTTCTTATTTAATTACATTACATGGCGGTTTCAATAGGGTCTTAAAGCTGGAGGCTTAGGGACTAAGCACGGCTCGTGGCTTTCTTATTCTCGGGGTTTACATGCTTCTCTTCCACGGTTCGATGAGTCCGGTACCTGCTTGACCCTCAATTTAGGGCCGTGCCTCCATTCGTGGTTTCACGGTCGAGGGCTCTAGCAGTCACTCCAGAACCTATGTGACCTGTGTACACCCTTTTCGTCATCATTTGTCTGTAGCTTTGGTGTTAGACAAAGTGTTGTGTACACCCAGACTTCGCCAAACCATGCATACTGGTCCGACTGCTGACCCTCGGAGTTGCGGCCAGGCTTCCCAGAGGAAGACCACGAACGTGCAGGGTTTTCGGATGGTGAAGCCTTTCAGAGAGAGTTCAGCACACAGGCGACAAGCAAGGCTTTGAAGCGAGTTTGACAATATCCGTTTACAGTACCCCAAACCGTATAACCCCTATTCTAATGATCAAGGCCGCTGATTTGAATTCTGGATGCCAAAATCTGAGCCCCTCGAGCCTGATACGAAACCCCTGCAGCAGCACATGATTGGTTGAATCCTGTATCCCAGACGCACACCCTAAACCCTGAACTCTAAAGCATTTTCAGGTGTATGGCTTAACCCTAGAGCCCAAGTCTTGTACTTCATGCTCGACTGAAGCTTGTCCTTTTCCTGCTTGAACTCTGAACCCCATCTGGCGAGTCCCAGTGCAAAACTATAGGTAGAAAGCAAGATGGAGCAAGTCCGGGCCGCTGTGATCTTTGATCCAATGCTAGAAAGTGGCTGCCATTGCAATCCCGAAGCTGTATGTAATATACTGCAACAGGTTCCCAGCTCTTATCAGCTGCACCCGCTTTGATGTATTTGCTCATGGAGATTTATCAAACAACCGCACACATAACCGGAGCCATATACTTACGACTCTAGATACGCATGACTTTCGAAGTCTTTACGGCTTTTCAAGACCTCGCCTTTGTTGAGCCAGGCCGCCCTCTAGGCCCACGCCGCCCCAGAGGCGCGGGGGCAGTGTCTGACGCGAACACACAGATCCGTGGGGTTAGGGCTTATGGGGCTGTAGGGTGATACTATACATGTATATATATATATATATATATATGTATATATATATATATATATATATATTTGTATGTTTTCCTCCAGTCAGAAGCGTGAGGGCTTCTGCTTTTTTGGGGCGCAGTGTTACAAGTTTGTAAACATTGAGTTTAGGGTGATTTGGGCGAAGCACAGGCATAAGCGCACATGGTAACTTATGGACTGGGATTGGGACTGACGGGATCCCTCACGATGGCTTGTCGCGTGCCCACAGATGTTAAGGATGTCGGCTTCGCACCAAAGGTGTGCTCAAACGTTGTGTGTCTTGTTCCTGTGTCCCAGAAGGCCCAGGAAGTTTTGATAAACCCCAAACCCTACACCTATATACCCCCAGATCCTAAACCCTATGAGGCCTAAGCCGTCTTGCAGACCCCGGCGCGGCTGGGGAAGCTCTAGGGGACGGAACAAGCTATGATTTGCGCATGAGATGCCGAAGTATGGCTATATAGAAAACACCTAGGTAGGGCTTTGGGACATTTTATATTTCCTCTTATTGGGCTTAAGAGGATCTTACCTACTAATAACTATTTTCAAAGGCTTTAACAGCACCTCCTAGACAGCACTTGAATCCTGAATCCGGAGCAGCAAACTCTACAAACCTGCAAAGTCCTACTCCGTACAGTGTATGTCGGACCCCCGGCAATTGATCCGCATTTAATTGCCAGATGATTTCGAAATAGAGGGCACTAAAGTCGTCCCCGAGCAGCCGGATCCTTACTGCAAGGACCGCACACTAAGGTATGTCCCTTGTATAGTTTCTACCTCCCCAAGCCCCTCCTTCCCCCCCTCCCCCACAAAAAAGAGATCCCACGTTTGAGGCCTTCAACCGCCTCTGCCTCCTCCTCCTCCGCCTCCGGGTCTTCGCCAGTGTTCGACGAGGTTTGCCCGGAGATGTCTAGCCTGTCGAGGTCATAATATCGAAATCAGGCCCGCCCTATTTAGGGATCATCGTCCTAAGGATCCTATCGTTGGGTTTCTAAGGTCCGGGTCCCCTGCATTCTCAGCATAAAAAAGTGTGTGGGCTCGGGGTGGAGTATGTACAGTAGAAATGTACTTTATTTAGTCAGGATAAGCCCTAAACTTATTAGTAGCTCTTCGAGCGATTTTACCTGGCCTTTTGGTATTTCTACAGAGTTCGAGTGCGTGGGCCTCTGGGGGGTTCGAAGTTTTGAGGCTCGAGGTGGGGGGGTACACGGGATGAAGTGGGTTTGAGTTTGGGAAAGGGTTTCGTTTTAACGTTTAGGGTTTTTTTGGGGAGGGTTTTGCAAATAGGGTTCAGGGTTCCGGGTGTAAGGGTTACATGGATTGACAGCCAGGGTTTTGGGAATTCGGGCCCCTCGGCGCAGTCTTCTTTCAAAAGGGATAGGTTTTGCAAGCGGCTTAGGGTTCTTCGTGGCTGAACCCCACGACAGGGATTGAAAAGGGCACTTTGAATCCCTGTACTTGCCCATGGCATATCCATCCCTGTGTAACCGTCTTGTAAGATCTTATATAGAGCTTTCTTAGACCCCTGCTCCAGGATGGCTCGGTACAGTACCCTTCTTGGATGACGGATCGCGTGCGGCGGCTGTGCACGAAGTATCCCAACTTCTCGGGGCAGCCCCTTGAAGTGAGATTTCGGCGCCGGTTTCGGCTTCAAAGAGCGGTTTGAGTAGAGAAGCTGGGAGTTTACGTTTCGGGCGGTTGGGTTTGAGTTAGGTCATATTGGGGGTTCAGAGGTTTGGGTTCTAGGGCCTTAGGTTGAAGATTTAAGATGCAACGTGCAGGTCACATGAAACATGCACGACATGACATCTAAGGTACAAGATTGATATTATTGAGAACGGCGCAGGGCTTCAGCTTTTGGCATGGGAGCCCAATGCCTTGAAACTAAGTCAGTCAGTAGCGCTTTGTAGGGGAGTATGCTGTTGGCTTGGGGCTTGAGGTGCAAAAGCCTTAAGCCGAATGCAATATGCACTCGAACGAAGTAGTCTGCATCATGTTTTTGCTATGCAGTAGTCACTAGTCGTGACACCGGCTAAAGCACCAATCATCGGAGCTTCAGCTAGACGTCATCCCGCGACTTCGAAGCCCAACCGGTCTGTGGCAGAGGTACGAACCTAGCTTTCCTGTTTCTTGTCAGTGCATAGATAGTTCTCCGTCTGAAGGATTGGTGAGCACATTTTTGTGGTGTTCTTATGGAGGGTTCAGTAGGAAACGCCTTACTTCAGCTTGTCTGAGTGCCCTTTGGGGGCCTTAACAGGCGCTTTGCGATTTGGGGTTCCTGTACCCGGTACAGTAAAGCTGGTAAACCTCCAGTTGTAGTGGCCTACGGCCCCTCTATGACTGGGCATGGGCCTGGGGTTTAATTTTAACCCTGAGCACCTCTTTGAACTGCTTGAAGAACGCAGCGCTGCACACAGGTTTCTGCAGGAGATGGAAGCCGCTCGGAAAAAACAGTCCGTTTGAATGGCGGGTGTCCATTACCTGAAGGCCGGAGCTTATATGAGCTTGGACCAAAAGCTTCATGGTTTTGCGGCCCCACAGCTTTTTGAACGTGGAATGTAGTGTAGTGGACCAATAATATTTCCTTATTGGATGTTATATGGGATTTGTGTTTCATGGAACATTGGAACATTTGCATGCTCTTGCACCAAATCGTGTATTGGGCAGAGCAGGGAAGACCCAGCTTGCCCGTTTGTGAGAGGTCCAAGCTAAGCAATACTGTAAAAGCCAGAAAGTTGGAATATGATTATCCTAAACCCTTTATGGTGAATTATAAGGTATCCTACCCTGAAACCATATTCCAACTTTCTGGAGTTCCCTTACCAGATTGAAGCCTCACAACCGGTCCTCCGATTTTCGACAGCAGCCGCTTTACTATTACAGCGATATCAGAACAAAATCTAGGTGGCAATTTGGGAAACTTTTTAATTTCCCTTATGGTTCCTATAGAGGTACCTATTCATAAATACTTTTCAGAGCCCCAAAACTACAACCCAGTAATACATTCTCAAACTGGAGTCGACTTCTGCAGTTTATAGAAGATGCTCCCAGCCCCGGCTTCAACTTATGAAGCTGTGTGCACCGAGGATTGGCAAGACCAGGACGCCGCTTGCATTGCCACTCAAATCGGGAAGCTTGCATTGCCATCCAAATTGTGAACCATTTGACCTGAACCCTGAGCCCTTGCGTGTGGCATAGGTCGAATAGGTGGTGATTTGTCGACAGGGACCACCTGCACGTTCCTTTCCGAACATGCGCAGGTACACCTTGCGATGCAAAGGAGATTCCATGAGACCGTAAATTCAGTCAAATTAGCGACCAAGCCCGTAAGCCTAACGTAGCGGATCTCCCTAAGCCCTAAACCCTTTACCCTAAACTCCTAAACCCTAAATCTGCTTTTTCTCCCTCAGACTGGCCAGCCCCGAGCCTGACGTTTGCAGGACGTGGAGATGTACCTGTATTCCAATGGGTTCCTGAAGCCAGGGAAGAAGAAGGCTTTCGACCTGTTTTGAAAATGGCCGGTGTTGTTGCAAGTTTAGAGTGTGTTGTTTTCGTGCTAAAGGGGAGTGCAGGCTCTGCTATTCGGGCCTCCGAATCATAACCAGGGATACGCGGGTTTGCGTACGGTTCTCACCTTATAAGTGCTCATATTCAGCAATGAAAATTAAGTTTTGCGTCTCCTGATGCAGGGATCAAAGGAGCGGATGCAATTCTGATGCATACTGGCTACGCCTGTGAGATCTTGTGAAAAGCATTGTCCCAATCGAAGCAATATCTCCGTTCCTGAGAAGCAATGAAGCCTTCAGATTCCCCGGAGCAGGCGTACCCACCAGAAGCCACACAAGACACCTCAGCACATGCTGGTGCCGTATGTGCTGTCTGTGCATCCTATGCAGGGAGAAGGTTTCGATGATCATGGCCCATGGCCATGATGCAGGCGATGATGCTGTTGTATGCCAAACAGCCATAACAGACTTAGTATGATGATGATGTTGTAAGTTGCTGTTGTAACTCAGTGTTTTTTTAAAGCAGCTGTGTAACTGTTCGTGCTCATAACGCTGAGGCACGACTACGTAAGCCCACCCTTCACAACCAAGCTTCTGGGGTTATAGCCCGTTCAAGAAGAGCATGTAGCTGGAACCACGAGTCAGGCCTAAATCACCACCAAACCCCAAAAACCCTGAACCATGATTCTTCACAGCCAATGTGCTAGCCTTCCGAACGAACTATCCCCGCCTTCAGTGTCCGAGTTGCGAGAGCTTGAAAACCCTCAGCTTCACGATGCAGGCCCTAAACCCGAAAAGATGCAGTCCTCGAACCATATGCCTCGCCTGGATTGCCCGAGTGTCAGCGCCGAAACCCTGTAAAACCCTAAAGCCCTATTGCCCTATTTATAAACCCGAAACCCTGAAGGCACGACCCCGGCCGGCCGTGCCTCTCTCCGTGCATTTCGCGGCCTTGGGCTTGGAGGAGTCCGCCTCGGCGGGCGAGGCAGGAAGTTTCCGAGACCCCTTAAGCATATGTGTAGACAAGCAAATAAATTCGTATGTTGGTTGAGACTTTCACTCTCACTCTCACTCTCTCTCTCTCTCTCTCTCTCTCTCTCTCTCTCTCTCTCTCTCTACCTGTATACAGAGAGAGGGGCATGTACATGCATAGGCACAAAAATATATAAACATATAAACATATATATATATATATATATACATATAGATATATACATACGTGCACATATGTACACATGAATACGCAGATACGCCAATGTGTGCATACTTGTACGTATATTCTTATCGACAAACACCCTTTTACCATAACATCTTATATACATACCCAGACATACATACATGCAGACATACAGATACGTGTATACTTACATATATGTGCGCAGTACACTACAAGGGTGGGGGTCCTTACACTGGTTTCGGGAATCTTCCGTAAATTCGGGTTTTGGCAATCCTTTGGGGGTTTGCCGTTGGGGTTCTTTTACTTTGAGGTTCGGAAGTTTGTAATTTGGGGGGCTTTTGTTTTTGTCTTTGGGTTTTACATGTTGCCGCAGGGGAAGGGAGTCACAGAGAGAGGGAGAGGCAGGCTGGTGGAGAAAGAGAGCGAAACAAAGACAGACCTACCGACAGGCTGAGCAATGGCAGGCAGATAACTTCTTCATGATCGCTGGGCCCCCTCTAACACCTGAAATACACAATCATATGCCTGCAGTGACGACCTTGTCATTACGTTACGTTCACCCAACAATGGAAACTCATCGCATACAACCTGAAGCCCTCAAAAGCGGCATTGATGCCCTTAACGTACCAGTCTATGCTCCGAATCTTGGGAAAGGTTCGCAAGGCATACCGGCGCCTGGCGTTGGTGTACCACCCGGCTCCCCTGCTAAGAGTTCGGTGCATCGGACTTGGGCTTTTTTCTGGGGTATACTCTTTCAGTAGGAAGTTGCTGGAATGAGGTCTTTTCAGACGGACACCGGAATCTTAAGATCCTTATGCTCGCTGTGCCCGAAAACCCCAAAAATCCCATCCCAACACAGCCCTCACATATATCATATATCCATACCGCACACCAAGACTTTGTCATTTTGGGTTGACTCTTTGTCCCTGTAGCCGTAGAGGTTTCTGGAAGCCGAATGATACCAGAGACTCCTAGCTAAGCCATGTGCTTCGCTGTTTGAAAGGTCCTTCACAATCTGTTCCTGCTTTGCGCTGTGTTGGGCAGCTACTTAAAGGGTTTTGGTTTAGTTTAACAGAACTATACAGACTACGGCCGACTCAAACCTCAACGCCCAAGCCCACCCTTGAACTGAGGGTTCAGGGTTCCCTACACCCCTAAACCCTACTACACCCTAGCATCCTAAAGCCCTAGGGCACAAACTCAAAGGACACGAGCTCATAAGCCCCTGAACCTAAACCCTAAACCCTAAACCCTAAGAGATCCCCTTAAACTCCGTAAGCAAAGAAAGCCTGGGGATCAGAATCCGGAAGAACCTAAACCCTAAGCCAAAAGGCCCCAAGCATTTTAAAACCCTGAACCCTATACCCCTGAACCCTAAACCCCTAAACCAAAACGCCCCAAACCCAACATATGGAAAAACTACCCCTAAACCCTTAAACCCTGAACCCCTATACCCCTGAACCCTATACGCCTAAACCCCTAAACCAAAACGCCTCCAACCCAACATAAGGACAAGAACCCGGAAGATCCGGAAGCTGCCGCGGAGTCTTGTCTTTGCTCGTGGATCTTTCAGGGTGAGCTCAGCCCAACAAAGGGTGTTCCCTTTTTTAGGGCTCTTTAAGGTTCAGGCCTAGACTTTCGTAGCCTTGTGTAGAGATTTCATGCTCTCGTCAAGAGGGGTCGGGTTATCTCCGCGGGGCTTCATGGGCTTTTGTATACGGTTGGATAGGTTTTGTAGGGTTTGGGCTTTGCTAATTTTGGTTTTTGGGGGTTTTGACGCCTTAAGGCTCGAGGTTTCTGGGTTACAAAGTCTCAGTGTCTTTCAGGATCAGGGCGAGAAGAGGAGGAGACGCATGAGAAGACTCACACACTGCACTCTGACGATTCGGACGCATATACGCTGATAGAAGCTGATTGTCAGAATTATCGTCAATACAAATCCAAGCAAGCTCTCATCAGACAGCACAATGTTGCACACGATCAGAAGTTCGAAGAGACAACGTCCAGATAAAGCGGTGGAGGGTTAGCTAAGAGCCCCACTAGCTATGATTTCTGCGGCCTCTATAGGAAACCTCCGAACCCTAAAACCTAAACCCTACTTGGAGGTGCATGGGTAGTTATAAGTAGGGTTATAACTCCTCTAAAATATGGGCTATAAGTATAGTTACCCTACTTATAACCCTACTTATGACTACCCATGAACCTCCAAGTAAACCATAAACCCTATACCCTTATAGACTCGCTAAAGATCCCTTTAAAGGGACCCTTAAGGGAACCCTATTCTACCCAAACCCTAAACCCTAAACCCCCCCGGCCGGGACCCACCAGCACTGCAGCTCCCACTCTGTGCAGCAGAGGATACCTTTCGCCGACTTGCAGAGGCCTACGAGGCCTGGGATTAAGGAACCCACCGAGCCCGGTACACCTATGTATGTAGGTATGTATGTACGTGCGTAACCACATATATAATATATATATATATATATATAACTGAAGTATTCAAAAAGCTTATATATATATATATATAGCTCTGCTCATTTCTGGCTTCTCCGGAAAAGTGTTGAGCTGTCTTGAGATATGTGTATATATATATATATATATGCATTCATTCATGTAGTTTTCTGTTTGTACAGAGAAAGTCGTTTCTGCATGTGCACACACACTACATATGTGTATGAGTATATAACAGTATGTGTGTGCTGAGTTATATGTATTCATCGTGCAGTGTCGCCCGTCTCGAAGATAGAAGAAACTTCAGCTCAGAGGCCCTGGCGGCTCACTTCGCTGGTGCGGAGCAGACATCTTCCGATGTGGCCGGCTGAGCGGCCACCACATAGCATCCTACTATGGATGCTCTAGAAAAATCGAACTCAGTAGAGTAGAGGTCTAGGGAAAGGACATGACATCATGCGCTGGGGGCCATCTAGGCCTTATTTCAGCTCCTCTTGAAGGATCCTCTCAGGACCTTGAAGCTCCCCTGAGCCATAAACCTGAAGGACCTTAAAGGTCCCCTGAGCCCCAAAACTTAAGGACCTTAAAAGTCCCCTAGGCCCTAAACCTTAAGGACCTTAAAGGCCCTAAACCTTAAGGACCTTGCAGGTCCCGTAAGCCTTAAACCGTTATGCAGAGGAGAGGGTATTTTCGAGCCGGACAATGGGTGGTGATGGTTGCCTTAGAAAGTTCCGTGGCTTGGAGGTTCACAGCTACGAGCTGGGCGAGCCGGGTAAATGAGTTCCCCTTCTATAGGAATGCTTTTATAGTTTTTCTTGCAGGAATGCAGAGTTGAATGTGCAACCCATTTTATAACGACACATTCTCGAACCTCCAAACCTTCTAATTCGCATCTTTGGCTGCCCCTCCAGTTCTGAAGCCGTCGTTAGCAAGGAGATATACATAGAGTCGGCCGTAAACTTGACAGAAGCGGCTCCAGAACAAGAGGATGCCTATCAGAGCGACGGAGAAAGCGCATAAATGAAAAGCTTGCTGTCCGATTGACACCTTTCGGCCAAAAACATGGCTTCCGCAGCCAGTGATTCGACGTGGAGATGTGCAAAGGCTTGAACTGAATCATCAACCCACCTTTAGTTAGTACATCTCAAAGCCCACGCCGACCGCAGGAAGATACCCTGTATGCCAAATTCAACAATCATTCTTTATTATTGTTATCGGACCTTAGCCTAACGGTCTGCAAGGGTTCATGTATTTCAAGAGGGTTAGCTCCCGTGAGATGCTGTTTTTGAGTCGGGATCCCTGACATTGAGGACCGAATGAAACCTGAAAGGAACAGAGCATAGAGGTGTAGGATTTACGGCCCTGTACCCTGAGCAGAAGCAGCAATGTTATGCTCGCGATGCTGGCTTTGCTTCGGTGCCAGAAGCATTACAATCACCGTTTCGCTGCAGATGGTTTGAGAAGACCCTAGCAATGAGACTAAATTGTTGAGCTTTTGCTGACTATGCATGTAAAAGAGTCGCATGTTTATGTATATACAGAAGATGTAACTTGGAATGATTACTGCTGCTGATGATAAAAATCCTGCATTACCGTAAGGACCCGAAACCTATGGGAATTACGGCATATTCCTGATAATGGGTCATGCACGATTTATATCATCAACCGTGCCACTGTTACGTGCTACCATCCTTGTTGTTGATGTTGTTTTTGCTAGTGTTATACATACATGCATGCTTACGTACGTACGTGCGTACGTCCATGCATGCATGCACACGTACATATACATGTCTGTGTGCATCTACGTGTCTATATTCTGGACCTGAAGAGGCTCCAGTATGAGATACAGGGCCTGACTTGGGTGCTTCGGTTTATGAGCTTTGGCTTGGTGAGTCGAGCTTGGGAGTGGCGCTTTTGCAGAGTGCTTCTTGCGACCCTTCGAAACAACTCTAAGTCTTCCATGTGGGCCTAGCTAGTCGCTGATGAATACCACCGAATCTTCCAAACAGGAATAGCTACCCGGGTAGTTGCCTGGAAGCATGTCTGAGGCCGAGCAGCAACAGCAGCAGCTGCAGCGACAGCGCCAGCAGCAGCATGAGCAGCAGCGGCAGCAGCAGACGATGCATGTGCCCGGCGCCCATTGCACTAGGGATCCTGCAGGAATGGCCCGCGGCACCGTGCTTCGTCATTTTGCATGTCTTAATGAATTATTGCACGGCTGGGGCTTTGCATAGCTGGGATGCTGACAGCGCAGAAGGTGTTGCAGGATTGTTCTTTTTTAGCAGCACCGCTATGCTAAAGATTCCTCGCTCTATTCTGTAACGATCTTTTGCCTTCTATCTTTGTGACAGTTGATGCTGATCTTCTTTGTCTGAACAATGTTCCGGTTCATCGTTTATCAACGCAGGTACTTTCCCCATGTTGCATTCAGAGCCTTATTGTTGGAATCAGCTGATGTCCTTGTAAAGCTCGCTGTCGGTCGCCCATAGCTGGCAGACCTGCACCTTTTGGGATACATCTGGGTCTCAATCCGTACTCCGGGATTCAGCTGACATATTCGGGGCGGATCTCGCCAGGAAAGGGCACCCGAAACCCGAAACCGCCCCACGTGATAGCTGCGCGGTCACTGAAGCCAGTTGAGGTCACCAAAGCTGGAGGAGGCGGGCTTCGTTCGTCCCCTTGATACCGCAATGGTTCTGAGAGTTGTCACAGATAAAAAGCAAAAGCAGACGGAGCCAGGCAGTTTAGCAGCAGTAGTTTTGCAGTCCCTGTAGCTCAGAACAGAATCTCATCCTGTGTTCCGCCAGCTCGTGTTCGAGTGCCACAATTTCCGACCCGAGCCATGGGTCAAACTAGGTCTAGGGTTTACCGGACGAAATCGTTGGAGTGATGGATCTGACATGGCTTTTTCGCATCTTTAAGAAATTGTTCTTGTAGCCATGTCGTCACTGCTTCCTGAAGCTTGGGATGGATTAATCGAGTAGCCGTGTGGCACGAGTTAAAAGCATCGTCGGTGCCTCGGTGCCTGGTACATGCATAGCCCAGAGACTCCAATCTCAAATTATGGTAGGATCCCTTATATGATTTAAGGAATATTCCTTCATTAAGGGATACTGGAGTCTCTGGGAGACCCAGGCGCAAACGGGTTGCGGCTTTCAGGCCCGGCACGCGGGCCGTAGACGTCTAGCGAACACATAGGGCGCAGAGCCTTCGATGCTTTCCCGGATGCATCACACCTTGCCTGAGCTTGCTTCCCCGGTGTTCTGGCTATAGTAAGGGCCCCAAAAAAATTTCAACGCATTCAAAGCCACATGTCGACAACAAAGCCCAGCACAGGCACCGCCGCGGAGAGTACCCACTCCACGGCACAGCCCAGGTGCCACAGCTGTTGGGGGATGTAGTGGCTCGGGAGTTTGGGTTAGGCCATCCTTCCCGATTTCGTCTTCTGCCGTGTGAGTGTGATGTCGGTTTGGCCCTCAGATATTCGGATGCTGCTGGAGGCACTTCAGAGAGACCTCCTTCCAATTAACAAGGATTCGGATTGTTGGGATTTCAAGCACCTTTGGTGGCAAAGCTTTGAGGCTCCCATTTCAGGTTCAATTTTTGCCCAGAAACCCCCATTACCCCTTAATTGAGGAATATACCTTGAACCAGAATATTAAGGCTTCTATCACAAAAGGTATATTTCTTAATTAAGGGATATTGGGTTCTCTGGGTGGGAGCCAGAAGCTTCCAGAGTTCACCAGGACCCCTAGAAGGGCCCTTCAATGGAGTCCTTACGGCCCTGAACAGGTGGGTATTTGAGGTATGTTAAAGGCACATTAAATCATTAAAGGGTAGGCAGGTTTTCGGGGCTTAGGGTTTCTGCTGCAGAAGGGCTTCTTCAGGGTATTGGATGGGGAGCTAAAAAGAAGCTGCCCGGACCTAATGTAGAACATTAGCACCCGCAAAAAGACGATGCAGGTGTTTGCTGATCTCTTTGCTGCTTAGCCTCTTCACATGGGTCGAGTCGGAGGGTTGCCCAGATCAAAAGTGCCCGATTTCCTGGCACATCTGTTGCTGCCGCAACGAGACATGCAAAGGTGCTTTTCATCAGCGCTTGCTGGAGGCCATTTGAGCGGTTGCTTAGAGCATTATGAGCCCGGGGTGTTGCTGTGTGTTTCTTCTCTTCGCGGCACTCGGTGGGATGGTGGGTCTTGCATCAGTTGCAGAGCTCGAACGGCACCGAGGCTGTTATCAGCACCGCCCACAAGACCCCATCCGACTCCTAAACCCCGGAACGCTTAGCATTCACATCCAAGTAGCTCCAAAGCCCCGCCAGACCTGCTGTTTCGTCCTCGACTGGCAGCGCCGATGCTTAGGAATCTTATTCCATAGGGTTCCTTCAAACATATATGACCCAACCGAATCCTAGTGGTATCCATGTTAGCTTCGTTCCTCTTTCGATTGTCAACATTTTATGCACCGTATGCCGCAAAAATGCTCTCGCTGCGAACGTCCTGGAACTTTATCTAACTCTTGAGAAGGACCCGGTGAAAGTCCTAAATACTGCCCTGTGACTACTCAAGGTTCACACCTTTTCCGCTTGATGGATGTTCGTCGTTTGCGAGCGGACCGGTTTCATTCTGTTTCTTGTCTAGTCTGTTCAACTATTCCGATATTCCCGCATGTTGTCCGTCTCCCCAATCTGACAAGAGGAAGGCATGTCTTGCAAGAGTCTCACCGGCGAGTCGTCGCGTCCCTGCATAACCCGTGTACCCGCGTGGTATATGTAACGCACGCCAAGGAACCAAAGTCTGACTGTTCAAGCCACCTGAGGCTCCTAAACTACGTAGTTTCTAGTGATCCATTGGGTCAGCACCGGCTTGGAGGCTCGCTTGTCGAACTAGCAAAAGTCCGACACGGGTCTGTTAATTACAGTCATACGAGTAGCAATATCAAAAGTATGGTCGCAGCACATCGGCACTTCTATCCTAAGGAGATTTATCCTCCACGATTCGGTTTCTAAGTGGGTTGAAATGCAGAGTCTTGACCTACAATAGGCAGTGCGATGGCCAATCTGTGCTGTGTCACTTGCAGTCAAACGACGCCATGACGGCTATCCACATGGGTCTGCTTACCGTTTGGGCTTTTCTGGAAAGGCAGAACAGACATGGAACTGCGAAATTCGCATTACGCCAATAAGTATTCGAAAACTTCTAAGTTTCACCTCTTTGACATTGAGGAAGCTACATTCCTCCCTGAGCCCAGTAGTCACTACAGTAGAAGCCAGAAAGTTGGAATATCATTATCGTAACCCCTTTAAGGTAAATTATAGGGGATCCTACCATTAATCCATATTCCAACTTTCTGGAGTTCCCTTTAGTCATGT